AACCTACAGAAAGTCACAATTAAGAGGCAGCTCTTAATTACAAGTCAGCTATAAGTCTTGTAAATCATTAAAAAAAAGTTCTGGGTGACATGAGCATGCGGCACACGCTGCCTTGCTCCTGCATCTCACATAGCAGGAATTATGCTTTATTAACGTGTTTGACTCCCAAGTATCTCTTTGTGGGCTGGTACCTTCCCAGCTTAGGCTGACTGCTATCAGAATTTATGTTTTCGGCTGTATTTCAGAATTGGGGGACCTTTGGGCTGCCAGATATGGCTTAACCCCTATAATCTCAATAATGTATATACACAGATGGTAAGGAGATAAACTGAAGAACATTAATGGATGCCCAAAATGCATGGTGACCGTACCTAAGGGAAAATGGCCGCTATACTGAGGAAAAAGTTCCATGAGTAAACTAATCCCACTAATCAAGGCTCATTTAAATTCTAATTTTAAAAGCCAAAGCAATTAATAATTATTTGTACAAGGGACGATTCCTAGTCTAGAGCAAGGTTTAGTTTACATTATGAAACAACAAAACTATAATTTTATTAAATGAACAATATAATGTAAACATACAGAACATTGTAACTATAGTAATGGTGGAACTGACCATGTATAAAAGTTAAGACACCAAAAACAATAATCTTTGCACTCATGTTCCACCTTATGAGTCAGCCATCAACGCCAAAGGTGCTTCATGTAAACGGACACCAATGATCCATCCCAGCAACAGATAAAACAAAAGACACAGGCTACATTCTGTGATAATGATGGCGTATCTTATCTACGGATGAACTGAGGAAAGCTCCTTCACTCCTGACCCCTGCTATCATACTCCATACTGTATGAAAAGACTCCTGATGTGCCATTAACCTCTCCTTCAGTGCCTATCTTGCGCTGTCTTGGCGCGTCACTTCTGGTTCCAGTTTGTGAAATCATGACACCAGGTGCATATGAGTCTTTTCAAACAGCACAGGAGATGCAGACTGCATAATAGCGGGGTTCGGGAGTGAAGGAGCTTTCCTCAATTCATTTGGAGATAAGAATTTGACAAATAAGCTTGAGTTTGTTTGGTGGAGTGACTTATCCTGAAATAAATCTATACCATCATTATCACAGAGTATGGCCTGTGTCTTTCGTTTTTCCATGTATAAAACGTAACGATTCATGTAAAAAAAAAAAGAGACAACCATCTTTTATTGAAAGAGGTAAATCACAGCAAATACTAAAATGATACAAAAACAGAAAAAATCAGCGCTTTACTGCCACACAAATAAAATAGAAAAAGGCAGCACCTTTAAGAGGGGAATCCCCTATAATCCCCTAAATATAAAGATAAAATGGAAGAAGAGATCAAAGTGCGCCTAAAATATACGATAAAACGTATACAGAGTATATAATAAAGGAAGCAAATATAAAATGGTGGTAAAAATTATAAAATATAAATAAAACAATAGTCCAGAAAACTTATCAAGAGTCCGTAATGGTGAAATATTATGGAAAAGCGGGAAATCCTGAGACGTCAGAATGGAGTGGAATCTTCACAGTGGTGTGCTTGAATCCAATAAAGGATATATGGAAGGGAAACAAAAACAGGAACTCCAATGGTATAGTATGTCAGCGGAAATAAAGTATTGAATAAATAAAATAGCCGTACTCACACTTTCCAGAGCTAGATCCCAGCTCTGGTATTCAGCGCGCGAAGTGGAACAATCCCCACTCAAGGATAAACAAAGAGATGTTTGATTGGAGAGTATCTGTCCCAGATTCCGTATTCGAATAAATGTTATTCAACCCAAAATGAGAGAAAAAATATAGTGCTCTCTATATACAATAAAGCAGAGGAATGTAAAGTAAAATACTTACATTCTATAGAGCAGATCTGTACTGCTCAGTATAAGCGCCTAGGTGGTGTAATCCCCACCTGTGGATTCTTTGAGTTCCTTGTAGGTGTAGATCAGGTGCACAAATGAAATAAATTATTCAATATACAATATAAAAAGAATAAATGAAAAAATGGCTATAAAATAATCTATGCCAAATTAAATTCTTTATTATAAAGTGATTAAAATAATATCTATACGCGTTTCGCCTTAGAAGGCTTCATCAAGTAGATAATAATAAAAGGAGGGCACACCTGACATACAGAGGTTTATATAACATACAATACTGTTAAGAAAATTTGAAATTCCCGCCAAAATGACGTCATTTAAACATTCATATTATAGTATAGCAAAAGGTATAGACGAAAGATGAAATGCTATGAAATACTGCACTTTTCATTTTTAAGGAAACAAAAAAATACACGAAATGAGAGAGGAAGAATTGCTTTAGTGTATATCTAATATTATGTTGATCAATCTAGTATTGCCTCTTTGCACTATTTCCCCCCCAATTTTTTCTTGTTTTTGCAGCCCTAAACACTTCCTGTAAAGTGAGAACTAATGTGAGAATTTGAGAATTTCTTATCTCCTGTACTGTTAATAGCATGCTAGACCTTGCAGGAGCCTCCTATGTGTGAATAAAGTTCAATTTAAGGAGCAGGACGAAAAATTCTAAAGCTAGGTAAGTCTGATTGAAAATGAAACTTTTTTTAATATTCTTTATTTTTGTAGTGCATAGCGTAACAAACAGAGTACATTCCTCATGAGTATAATCAACAAGCAAAAGGTGTAGACGAAAGATGAAATGCTATGAAATACTGCACTTTTCATTTTTAAGGAAACAAAAAAAAAAAACAACAAGCATGTCTAAATATTTCTAGCTGGTAAGACATGTTGACAGAAGGAAAATGCTGAATATTATGAGTGATAGGCATTTATATTCTTAGGCAGGCTATTTAGACATGGTGATAAGAGCTGACGAGTAGTGCTGATTATGATTAAGGAAACAAGCTAGACAATTATTGTAGTAGTGAGTATCCAGTGCTTAGAAAAGTGGGGTGAGTTATTCTATAATCAGGCCAGGGATGCAATAGTATTTCTACTGGTACTGAACCTAAAGCTCAAGAAAGTTGCGCCATATTCTATGCATAAAAACATATTGAAAAATAGTTGAGCAAAATAAACAGTGTAAAACAAAATGGAATCCGGGCATCTCATAAAGACTCATTCACTGATAGCAGGCCTGCATTCAGTATAGACTAAAGCATCAGCTTATTCCCTCGGTTGGCATTCGTGGTCAATATTGCGGCATTCCACATGTCGCAAAAAATGTACATAAATACAAAGAGCAAACGTTTATAGTCATATGCTTTGCCCACAACTTGTTGTGTTCACGAGTTAATAAAGGGAGATGGACTCCAGAGAGGTTCTGCTTGGGTTGGAAATCCCAAGGGAAATTGCATGTGTAAGAGTCTCTGAGTGAGATAAGGGAATCAGCGGATGCCCCTTCGTGAGGCAAGGTATCAATGCGTTGCAGATTGGTACGTACCGGAGAGACAGTGCATCTTCTTGGGCCCCCTTGGTATCTCCGGAGTGGGATGAGCAAATGTGTGGGTGCTCCTTTTGGGGGTCTAGCGTCTATGAGCCTGTGGACATGGTCTGCTCATTGCCTCAGTCGTTCCCAGAAGGCTTCACAGATTGTGTCAAATATTGCCAAGAAGCTTAGGTTAGGCCTTGTATGTTTCACGGGGTCGTGTTCCAGCGCCGTTTTGAGAGACATAGTAGGGCCCGTGGATTTTGGCGGGGTGCACTCAGATCAGTCCCGGATGTAGGTAAGTGGCTGTGGTTCCCGGGATAACCCTCACCGGCGAGGGGGGAAGACAGGGCTGCCCACCATGGGTCCGACTGGCACGTGGGCTGAGGGATCGGCCATCCCCTCTAGTCCCGCACAGCCAGGCCGCTACTAGGCCACGGTATTGCCACTGCGGGTCATCCAGTGGGATATGCCTTGTTGTCTGTCAGAGGCATAATCGTTAAAGTTCTCGGTTAGCTGGGAGTCAGCAGAGGTGTAGTAGTCCAAGTTTGAGGAGTTTGAGTAGTCAAACAGGTCAGTATTTACAGGATTTCTCCTAAAGCTTTTGGGATGTGCGACGGTTCACCATGTTTGGCAAGCACCGCCCCCGAAAATGAAACTTATTTTATACAGGCTGTGTGAGTCACAGTCAGGGAAGGTGTAGCTAGGGCTGCATGAACAGAAACAAAAGTGATTTAACTCCTAAATGGCTGAGAATTAAGCAGTGAGACTGTAGGGGTATGATCTACACCACATAATTGCTTCATTAAGCTAAAGTAGTTTAACCCCTTAAGGACCAAACTTCTGGAATAAAAGGGAATCATGACATGTCACACATGTCATGTGTCCTTAAGGGGTTAAGTGACTCTAGTGTCCCTTTAATCACATATTATTTTATCATGTTATTCATTCAGACCAGCATGCCAGGCAAAATATAAACTAGTTTAGCATGTTAGATTTATTTATTTTACATTGTTTCTATAGTGTCATCTCTATCCAAAGTTCTTACATAAATTAAGTCTATTCACTAGTTGCAGAATAAATAATAGTATCATTGAACAGAACAACTAGAATGAGCTGGTATATATGTGTGTGCGTATGTATGTGTGTGTATACTCGGAGATTCAGCAGCACTCTTCATTTATATCATAGGTGCAGGTTTCCAAGGCCACTCTCCAAACACCTTCACAAAGTAAAATTAATAACGGAGCCGCATTATTACAGCATAACCAAATGAAGATTTATTAATTGATGTAATTGAGAGGGTATTTAAACATTGTGGTGTTAGTTAGATCCTCATTTTGACAAAGACACTGCATTTGTCGAAACGTTGCTGGATCCCCTTAATGATGGAATAAATCTTAATTTGATTATGTTGTAGTGTTGCGGCTCCTTTACTCTTTTTACTTTGTGTGTGTGTGTATGTTAGTAGCAGTGAGTAACAAGAAATGATATATTGAGTGGTTAATCATATATCAGAAAGAGAACATCAAGTACAAAAGTAATGACAAGACACTAAACACCTTTATAAATGTTACAGCCCTGCAGGGTGTTAACAGCCAAGCACATACACCAACTAACATCCTGTGACAAGCACAGGCACTTCACATCCTCATTCTATCACCAGCACTGCCACACTCAGAGGATGCACATATACACACCTTCCAATGAACACAGACACACTCATCCTGCAGTAGCACTAACACACTGCGAGATCCTGTGAATATTTATACACACTGTAAGGGGACAAGGTCCATATTAACAAAAACAAACCTTCACTTCCAATTTCACACATTGCCAAGAACACAGACATTAACAGCAGCCCTTCTGCAGCACTGCTACAAGGAGGTCATTCTGTCTGAAGAATTCAAAAGCAGAGTCAGATCAACACTCAAGAAAAAGGCAAGCAGATACTAACAGCAGTGCAGTGTATCAGAGCCAGTCAGCAATCCATTACAGCCCACACTGATCTGCTGTTCAAGTTCAAGTTCACAGCACTATTACTCAGGAAGGAGCTGTCCTGCTATATTCTGCCTTACTCATCAGCCAGAGCCACAGATTGGGACCTCACCAGAGAAACTGCTAAGGTTGGTACAATGCCAGGACCAAGGGGACCCACAATCCAGATGGAGAGCTCTATATAGGCTTCATGCTAGGAGCACCGTGAGAGAGCCATAGAGACAATCCTATGGCAGAGGTATTACAGCAGTCTGATACAGTAACACACACAAAGAGAGCTTCACTGTGTGATGAGTTCTTTATGGAGTGTAAAGGATAATATATAGATTAAAAATAGTAAAACACAAACACAAACAGTATAGTGCTATCATGAAAGATTATTTAGAACTGTAATATAAATGTACTGTGTTAACAACTAAAGAGAAACAAGAGATAGAAAAACTGAGAAAGGAGATTGGGGAGAATATAACAAATATAATGTCAGAATGTGTCTAACTCTGAAATTGATTAAATATAGTGAGCTAACACTGCATTATCAGATAATATAATGCAAACCTCCAAACATTCCAAATGGAGAAAGTGGGGAATATAATTTTATGGGTGTGAATGGGGCTTTGGTCAGGACTGGCAGGACTGTTCTGAGAAATTTCAAGTGACTTACTAATTACAATTTGTGCAACTAAAATGTAATATAGAATAAAAACAATGTATGTTATGTACACAGACTGATTTCAAAACATATTTATTGTAGTTTAACTCCTTAAGGACTGAGACAATTGTACAAGTTCGGATAAAAAACAAAACAAAAAAAAACGTGGAATTTGACTATATGTCTGTATTATATATCACTTTTTCAGGAGAAATTCAGCTTTTATTTCACATCAAATATTAATATATAAAACATAATTTCATATGAATGAAATCTAAGAAAATGTGAGAAATTAAGAAATGTTGTAATTTTTTAGTTCTGCATTGCATTTTAATTGTAAATGTCATAATACTGTTTGCTTTTGCTGCAATAAAATACACATATTTGTATTCAGCAATGTCTCACGAGTACAATAATACCCCCTATGTGCAGGTTTTTTGATGTATTTGAAAGTTACAGGGTCAAATATAGCACATTACATTTTTCAGTTTATACACATTGACATTTGCCAGACAAATTATGTTGCCTTCGAGACCATATGGTAGCCCAGGAATGAGAATTACCGCTATGATGGTATACCATTTGCAAAAGTAGACAACACACTGTATTGCAAATGGGGTATGCCAAGTCTGTTTAGTAGCCACTTAGTCACAAATACTGGCCAAAGTTAGCATTCATATTTGTTTTACTGGACCGCAGCAACTCCGCGTTCCAACTCAGAGTTCCAGGTGATTTGTAAGTTGCGGAGAAAAGAGAGGCTATGGTGGTAAACAAGTTAACACCGGTGCCTCCTAGTAGGTTACGGAGGAACTCAAGGACATGGACCCTAGATACTGAGAAGATATGAATACGATTGAGTAGAGGTAACCACTCACAAAATTTGTTGTGGGTGGTCCTGACTCCGTGAAAGAGAACCTACAAGAATTAAGATTTCATATAAGTGGTTAAAGCCTTTATTGGTATATCCATATGGCCGAAGACATCAAAAAGACAATACACAAAAATAAATGGAAGAGTGCAACCCAAGTGATACAAATAAATAAATAAATGAATAAATCAAACTTGTGTATTTTAAAATACTGGGATATAAGTATCAAAATATCCAGTTTACCTTAAGTATATAACCTTAGGAGGATCAGTAAATAGTTAGGTACCTCTAATGTTTGCTGATATTGCCAAAGTCTGAAGGAATTAAGGGAACTCAGAACATGGGGGCTCGAGGAAAGGAGGGAGGGGGGATGATTGCCGATCACGTTGTATCAGTAGTCTGTAAGTGTAGCTACTATAGGACACAGACTGTAACATCTATCACAGTATTGGACTTGCATCCGGTTACAAGTGGAAGAGAGAGATAACTCTTCTCTAAGCAGTGCCGGGTTCAAAGGGTTCAGCACTCTAGGTATTATAGGCATACCCACTGGATGTAATAACCAAGTGGATAGGATGTTAAGAGGTAACAAGCACGCATACTGTTATCAAAACAGGGCATATAGTCATCAGTACCTCGTTATTCCTGTAAAGTAGTTTACATCTCCCTAAAAAAAGTGGCTAATGAACACTTTAAACGTCCCCCACATAGGTAGTTTAAGCTGATCCATCCCCCTGCTATTAGAAAACAGCCTGTCTCGATCTTCCCCATGGTTTCCTGTTAGTTTAGTTTGCTGATGCAACTCTATTTATTCTAATTTTGTGTTGTCTGGGAAGTCTGCTAGGTTGAGGGTTTGATGGCTTTTTGAGCAACTAATAGGAAAACACATGGTAGTCTACAATCTCAATGATCTCGAGACCTGCATTGCTTCACTTGAATATTTTCCATGATATGAGATGTGTGAGGTTCATGAACAAACAGAGGTCATTGCTTGTAAATGCCTCAGATACCAACTGTTACCATCCCTGCCCTACATACATGTACCTACCACACAATTCACATCACACACAAGTAGCCCACATAAACCTCCATCACACACGCAAACATGCGTACAAATAATTTCCATCATCCATAGCAGAATCAACTAGAAAAGCTACAATTTCTGGTGAAATTGTGTGAAGTGTTCTTGCCTCCACCAGTAGTCTACAACTGGAGTGGGCGGAGTAACTGGGTGGAGTGAGCTGAGTAACTGTTGTGTGGTTGGAGTGGCTGGAGTAACTGTGGAAAGGTTGGCGTGTGGTTCACTCACTCTACAGCAAGGGCAGAGAAGAACTTTCAAATCTTTCAAATCCCTCGAACATTCCACCAACTGCCAACAGGAACTAATAGATTTCAAATAGGGCAGAGAAGAGCGGTTAGAAACAAACTGCTCCAAATTGCTCAATACGAATAATAATATATATGTGAGATAATAGTAAGTGGTCTTGCCATGGAGGGATACAAATGTACCAATTTATATCAAAACGTTCAGCTATCCCTGCTGCCACTGTGATGTTTTGTACAAATCAGTCAATAATTCCTGTATAACGAAGTACTCACTTTATTAATACATATATAACAGCATCTTCATATTGCAGCCTTGTTACACAGGGTTTCTGCAGCCGCCATTTCAAATCCCTCGAACATTCCACCAACTGCCAACAGGAACTAATAGATTTCAAATTGGGCAGAGAAGAGCGGTTAGAAACAAACTGCTCCAAATTGCTCACTTCACTGGCGGTTGCCATCTTCAAACGGTCGTATTTATAAAAACTATAAGTCCTACAGCGAAGAACTTTATATTGTGAGAATCACAAGACTCAACTCAGACCTACATTTTGATGCATAGTATGTCTCTGAAGTATTAAAAATGAAGGCACAGTCGTAGTTTAGAAATTGCCCTTCAAATTTTAGGTGTCTAGAGTGGAGTTTCAATGAATGTCGTGAGTGGACGTGAGTTGCAAACAAATGGTTATATTGTGAAAACTATCAGGACTATGACTTAGCCGTGGACATGTTTAGTGGCAGCAGGGATAGCTGAACTTTTTGATATAAGATTTGTGTAGGTGGGCCTGAAAATAAGGGAGTGGTGGCAATTTAGAAATCATGTCCTGATTTTTCAGCTTTTGCCAGCTCCCACTCTAGTTTTGAACATTTTGCCATTCATTCCTATGGGACCAATTTCGCCACAAAAACAACGATATTTCGTGAACCATTCGGCGAAACGTTCCACAAAGTAATAGCAATCCGATCGGGAACAATCCGCACGTTTCGGTATATTACTGTCCATGTAGTTTAGAAACTGTGGGAGGAGTTAGGGTGGTAAATTTGGCTATAATAATAATAATAATAATATATATGTGAGATAACATTAAGTGGTCTTGCTATGTAAGAACACTTCTTTAACAGTGACTGGTGGAGAGATGGCAGATCACTACCTTTCTTGAATCTTCTAACACTGGGTTTGAGCAGAGGCAAATACTACATTCATATATAGTTAATTATTTTGGATTTACAGTAAAAATGGCCTATTTCTAACTGTGATATTTAAGTATCCCTTTCAATAGAACAGGGAGGCTTGTTTTCATACTACTGAAGGCTTGGACAATTGTTTCAGATTCTTGTATATCCCCTGTCTAGGATACCAGATTAAACAAGTGCAACATAACAACCATAAACATACAAAGCTGTAGTTTCATGTATTTGGAAAATGTATTAAAAAAAGAAATAGTTACATCTTCAGTTAGAGTTAAACAAAAATAATACCTCCCGAGGGATGAACTTTAACCAGGGAGTTGAACTTATCTAATTTGAGATACAGCCCTTAACAGCTTTTTGATTACACCTCCTTAGGGAATGTGTCCATTATTGGCACGAAGGTTTTAAAAAGTCGGAGCCTTGCAGACACTCACTGATAGCCCCAGATGAAGGCGCATTACTCAAGCGCCAAAACACATATCGGGCGTTTTCTTTTTATTTTGTTATCTTTTTGTTTATTTAAGTTTTGTGGGAATGAGAATTTGTTTTTCTACCATTTAATGTAGTCTACAATTTAGGGTTTATCTAGTGGATACTTATCTTGATCAGGGACAGTCTATTTGAGAGATTTACATGGAGCTAAAATTTTGAGCGTTAGTTTGGTTGTAGGGACTTCTGTCCCGAGGTATTAGAGGGGGGATCTTTGGACTGTCCACTTGGGGGTATTTACTATCAGGCTATTTTGGTTATCCTCTAGTGTGATAACGTCCAATTCTCTGAGATTCCCCTATTCTATAATTTTCACCCCTTTTTTTAGGGAGTACATATGGAGCTCCTTTAGTGCATATTTTTGCACTCATATAGTATTATTTTGATCAGAACAGATTGAAATTACCTTTACTAGTGATTAATGAGATCCTTGAGGTTGATGCTGCAAGACTAAATATTTGATAGCTGGTTCGATTTTCGTAAGGAACAAACAAAGGTCTCCTCTTTCGGTGATATTCAGACGACTTCTCTGTTTGCGCATAATATGATTTCTCATCTGTGTGTCAGCTCCCCTCCTCTCCCTCCTCAATTCTCCTCCCCACCTTTTTTTTTTCCCCTTTTTAAATTTTTTTTTAACCTTCCTTATAGAATGTGACGGCAGATAAGAACCATTCGGCCCATCTAGTCTGCCCAATTTTCTAAATACTTTCATTAGTCCCTAGTCTTATCTTATAGTTAGGATAGCCTTATGCCTATCCCACGCATGCTTAAACTCCTTTACTGTGTTAACCTCTACCACTTCAGCTAGAAGGCTATTCCATGCATCCACTACCCTCTCAGTAAAGTAATACTTCCTGATATTATTTTTAAACCTTTGTCCCTCTAATTTAAGACTATGTCCTCTTGTTGTGGTAGTTTTTCTTCTTTTTAAATATAGTCTCCTCCTTTACTGTGTTGATTCCCTTTATATATTTAAATGTTTCTATCATATCCCCCCTGTCTCGTCTTTCCTCCAAGCTATACATGTTAAGATCCTTTAACCTTTCCTGGTAAGTTTTATCCTGCAATCCATGAACCAGTTTAGTAGCCCTTCTCTGAACCCTCTCTAAGGTATCAATATCCTTCTGAAGATACGGTCTCCAGTACTGTGTACAATACTCCAAGTGAGGTCTCACCAGTATTCTGTACAATGGCATGAGCACTTCCCTCTTTCTACTGCTAATACCTCTCCCTATACAACCAAACATTCTGCTAGCATTTCCTGCTGCTTTATTACATTGTCTGCCTACCTTTAAGTCATCGAAAATAATCACCCCTAAATCCCTTTCCTCAATTGTTGAGGTTAGAACTCTATCAAATATTCTGTACTCTGCCCTTGGGTTTTTACGTCCAAGATGCATTATCTTGCACTTATCCACATTAAATGTCAGTTGCCACAATTCTGACCATTTTTCTAGTCTACCTAAATCATTTGCCATTTGGCCTATCCCTCCTGGAACATCAACCCTGTTACATATCTTAGTATCATCAGCAAAAAGACATACCTTACCAGCAAGACCATCTGCAATATCACTTATAAAAATATTAAAGAAAATGGGTCCAAGTACAGATCCCTGAGGTACCCCACTGGTGACAAGTCCAAGCTTCGAATATATTCTATTAACTACAACCCTCTGTTGCCTGTCACTCAGCCACTGCCTTACCCATTCAACAATATTTGAATCCAAACTTAAAGATTGCAGTTTATTGATAAGCCTTCTGTGTGCAACAGTGTCAAAAGCCTTACTGAAATCTAGGTAAGCAATGTCTACTGCACCACCCTGATCTATAATTTTAGTTACCCAATCAAAAAAATCAATAAGACTAGTTTGGCATGATCTCCCTGAAGTAAATCCATGTTGTCTCTGATCTTGAAATCCATGTATTTTTAGATGTTCAACAATCATATCCTTTAACATGGTTTCCATCACTTTCCCCACTACTGAAGTAAGGCTTACTGGCCTATAGTTGCCCGACTCCTCCCTATTACCTTTCTTGTAAATGGGCACAACATTCGCTAACTTCCAATCTTCTGGGACTACTCCTGTTAACAATGATTGGTTAAATAAATCTGTTAATGGTTTTGCTAGTACACCACTAAGCTCTTTTAATAGCTTTGGGTGTATTCCATCAGGTCCCATTGACTTATTTGTCTTTACTTTTGACAGTTGAAATAGAACCTCTTCCTCTGTAAACTCACGTGTAATAAATGACTCATTTATCCTTTTTCTCAACTGAGGTCCTTTTCCTTCATTTTCATCTGTAAATACAGAACAAAAATATTCATTGAGGCAGTCAGCTAGACCTTTATCCTCTTCTACATACCTTCCTTCTTTTGTTTTTAATCGAACTAATGCTTGTTTTACTTTTCTTTTCTTATTTATGTATCTAAAAAATGTTTTGTCCCCCTTTTTTACTGACTGTGCTATTTTCTCTTCTGTGTGTGATTTGGAAGCTCTTATAACTTGCTTAGCCTCTTTCTGCCTAATCTTATAGATCATTTTGTCTTCCTCACTCTGGGTTTTTTTATAATTCCTAAATGCTAACTTTTTGTTTTTAACTATTTTGGCCACATCTGCGGAATACCACAGTGGTTTCTTGAATTTTTTGCTTTTATTGACAAGCCTAATGCAATTTTCTGTTGCCTTCAATAGTGCAACTTTTAAATAATCCCATTTCCCTTGGACTCCATTTAAATTGCTCCAGTCTGATAATGACTCCGCTACACATATTCTAATTTTACAAAAGTCTGTTTTTCTAAAGTCTAAAACTTTTGTTTTTGTGTGGTGTGACTCAGTCACTGTTCTTATGATCACTGACTGATGATCACTGGATCCTAAACTTTCACCTGCAGTAATATCTGATACCAAATCTGCATTTGTTAACACTAAATCTAGTATGGCCTCTTTACGAGTTGGCTCTTCAACAACTTGTTTTAGAGACAATCCCAGTAGTGAGTTTAGAATATGTGTGCTCCTGGCACAAGTAGCTAATTTTGTTTTCCAATTTACATCAGGAAGATTAAAGTCACCCATGATGATAACTTCCCCCTTCATTGTCATTTTAGCTATTTCCTCAACTAGTAGATTATCTAACTCTTCAATTTGTCCTGGGGGCCTATAAATCACACCTACACGAGTTACTGTGTGATTACCAAATTCTAACGTAACCCAAACGGACTCTATGTTTGTCTCACTAACTTTTATTAGGCTAGATTTTATGCTATCCTTCACATACAGGGCCACCCCTCCCCCTTTCTTGCCTTCCCTATCTTTTCTATATAAAGAGTACCCTGGTATTGCTATGTCCCAATCATTTTTCTCATTATACCATGTCTCAGTAATAGCGACTAAATCTACACTCTCAGTTGGCATTATTGCCACAAGTTCATGGATCTTTTTCCCTAAACTGCGAGCATTTGTAGACATGACTCTAAGCATTTGTAGACATGACTTATAACAATGCCCAGTAGGAAGGCTGAGCTAGGTATCCCACTTACTATTACTTACTATAGCCCACTATAACAGACAGGCACACACACACACACACACAAAACACACATACACACATACAGACACACACACACACACACACACACACACACAAGACACACATACATACACACACATACATACAGACAGACACACACAAGACATACATACAAAGACACATACACAAACAAACACACACAAAATATTTTAGTCATCCTCCTGTTTCCTACCTTTTAGGTGCAGGAGGTTGACTTTCCCTGGGGTCCAGTGGTGGCTCAGGTGGATGGGAGTTCCCACTCTGACTCCCTCCTCCTTCCTTCCACGCGGTCTGTGTGTTAGCTGGGAGGAGTGACGTGCAGTCACTTCCTCCCAGCTCTGTGATGGTGGCCCTGACAGCATATGCCACCCGATGGACCCCTCCATATGCGGCCCCGGCGGTTTGCCATGCGGGCCGGGGCTGCAAGTGGTGATGGCGGTACCCGGTCGCAGGGGTACCGCCGGCTCGCACCCGCACGCCTGCCCAATCTGTCAAAATTAGAAAATCCCTACCGCCCACCTGGAATCCTGAAACGCCCACTAGTGGGCGGTAGGGACCAGGTTGACGACCCATTGTCTAAAAGATGCTTAGGATCCTATATATACAGCAAAGAATTATCCTCTAGATCCCTATATCACCCTGGACACCTTTTTATTCTTTCCACAATCTAAATACATAGACATTAATATGTAATTATAGCTATAAGAGCTTTTACTCTTCTGGGAAGGCTTCTACGAGATCTTGGAGTGTGTCTGTGATAATTTTTGCCAATTCTGTGAGGTCAAGTACTGAGGTCAAGTACTGATATTGGACAAGAAGGCCTGGCTTGCAACCTCCATTCCAGTTCATCCCAAAGATGTTTGATGGGGTTAAGGTCAGGGCTCTGTACAGGACAAACAAGTTCTTCCAGACCAAAACTCATTCACGTCTTTATAGACCTTGCTTCGTGCACTGGGGCAGAAATAGCAAAGGGCCTTCCCCCAAACTGTTCTCACAAAGTTGGAAGCATTACATAGTCTAAAATGTAAAAGGCCTAGCCCAACTGCTTTAAAACAGTCCCATACCATTATCCATCTTCCACCAAACTTTACAGTTGTAACAATGCAGGTAACGTTCTCCTGGCATCTACCAAACCCAGAATTGCCCATCAGATTGCCAAACAGATAAACGGTACTTGCTATTTCACAGAACACATGCCCACTTCTCCCGAGTCCAATGGTGGCACGCTTTACACTACTAGATCCAATGCTTGGCATTGTACTTAGAGACATGAGGCTTTCATGCAGTTGCTTGGCCATGGGAACCCATTCCATGAAGCTCCCACCACACAGTGTTTGTGCTGATATTAATGCCAGTGTAAGTTTGGAACTCTTCCGCTATGGAATCAGCAGAGCAATGGTAAATTTTAAGCACCATACGGTTCAGCAGTCAGTGACCCTGCTCTGTGACTTACGTGTTCTTCTGCTGCTGTTCCTAAATGCTTCCACTTTCCAATAATACCACTTACAGTTGACCTTGGAATATCTACCACGTTTAAATATTTTTTGATCTTGTTAATAAATATTATCTATCTTCTATAATATAAGGAATCTATATACAGTATATTTTATTCCTTATATGTAAATTATTTTGTAATCCTTTCCCCCTGATATTTACAATATCATTAGATGTATTTATGCATTTTGCTATTTAAAAAGGTATTTAGTATATTTAGGAACACCTTGGATTCAATTCATGTTTTATGATTTATTTACCCCTTCTATTGTATATTGGTTTTATTGTATATTGCCTTCCATTGTATATTATCTTTTTTTAATTAATTTAGGTACAATTACACTATTGTGAATGCAATAATTAATCCACATTTGAGTTCTATATATTAATACTTAAGTAAATAGAGTGTGAGGTTCACCACAGATGTCCATACATGTACTTAGTGTTAAAACTAATTATGTTTTTAAATTATTATTCCATGAACTTGTTAAGCTCTTTTTACATTTAATTTGCGGTATTGCCAAGTGTTTAAATAATTGAACAGTGCAGGCGCGACCAGTGTCTCCGCTAATTGGAGAATAGTATTGTTACGCATTTGTGCTACATTTGCCAATAAAGATTATTTGCTTTCCATAGCTGGCAGTGCATTGGGCTTCTCCGTACATCATCACTTGTGATGATACAGGGAGGAAGTGCCCATGTGCAAATGCACTCAAACCTCTTGGTCGTGAATATCCACAAATTTCAAAGAATCAAGACAGAAAAGGACCCGGCAAGCTGTTAAAGAAGTCCTGACTGCACTGGGACGAAACACGTAGAGTGGCAAGCAGCAGCTGAAAGAAAAAATGTCCAAGCAGCCACCTTGTTCACACCTCAAAATAAGGTGTAGGAGCCCCCAGGAGTCGCTACCAGCAGTGCTTACTAGCTGGGCGTGGTCATTTTTGCAATTGGACTTTGGTCCCTGAGTGGGTGCAAGTATGTGCTCTCTCTCTCTTTCTCTATCAGAAAATGTTAATAGTACTCATAGGTCTCTTTGTCATGATTTTATTTGGTAAATTACATCATAACATAGTCTTTACAGACTATCAACGTTTCGGCCACTTCATGTCTTTATCAAGTACAATATATATCGTACAACATTCAAGATCTTGTATGTTGTATGAGTTGGCCCCAGCAGCATCCTTGTAAATGTGTTCAGGTTGGTACAGCCTTCCTGGTTTCACACACACACACAAACATACATATATATATAATATTTTCTTGATCTATTTTAGAGTGGTTTTAGTTTGTGTGACTATTGAGCTAAATAAGTGGTCTTTTTAACTTTTATAAGTTTTTCTCATTCATCTTTCTCCCTTTTTTCAAGTATTTATATTATTTCCTAAAGGTGCAGGATTGGCAATTATTTTAACCTATGGCTGGTGACTAGCGCCCTCTAGTGTACATATGAGATATTACTTACATTTGCACTTTTTTGGTTTATTTAACCCCTTAAGGACACAACTTCAGAAATAAAAGGGAATCATGACAGAATATCTCCGTCATGTGTCCTTAAGGGGTTAAATTTTACTGACTTATTGCAAAGGTGGCATCCCCATCCACACTTCAATCCACCGAGCTCTTCAGAATGACCCATTTTTTAAACAAATGTTTATAAATGCAAACTGCATGGCTAGGTGCTTGATTTTATACACCTGTGGCAAAGAGTCTGAAACACCTAAATTCAATAATTAAGATGTGTGTCCCAAAACGTTTGTCAAAATATCTTGTACACGTTCTAATAAAAAATAAAAAAAAAAAAGTAAACAAAACCTGGAATTTGACTATATGTCTGTTCAACCGTAATTCACCTCTTTTATATTAAGTGCACCCATGCTTATTATATATAATTTTGTTCAGGGGAAACAGTACTTTAATTTCCCATCAAATATTTAGATATGAAGCTTAATATATTATAAATAAAATAAATTGTGAGAAATTAAGTAATTGTGTTGTTTTTTAGTTCTGCATGGCATTTTGACTGTGAATGTCATAATACTGTGAGCTGTTACTGCAATAAAATATACATATTTGTATTTAGCGATGTCTCACAGTAAAACAGTACCCCCTATGTACAGGTTTTATGGTATTTTAGTAAGTTACAGGGTCAATTATAGCATGTTACATTTTTTAGTTTATACACATTGCCATTTGTCAGACTGGTTAGGTTGCCTTTGGTAGCCCAGTAATGAGAATCATCCCTACGATAGCGTACCATTTGCAAAAGTAGGCATCCCAAGGTATTACAAATTCAGTATATCCAGTCTTTTTTGTTTGTGTGTGTAAGATGCAAAAAATGAATTTAAAGGAACATTGTAGGCACCATAACCACTTCAGCAGATATAAGGTGTTATGGTGCCTACAGTGTTCCTTTAATCATGGCATTGATTGTGCATGCAGACCTCCGCTGACAATGGAGTCTTTTGTTTCACAAGACAATGTCACAGAAGTGTAAGCAGTAATAAATGTTATCTTAATCGTTTTCTTTCAGATGGCGTCTCAAGTTGCTGGAAGATGTGAAGGTATGTTTATAATTTGTTCTGCTAGATAGATACAGACTGCGCCCATAACATAACGGACCCATTTCTTATGGGGTTCAAATACCTGATTATGGCTTACCACTAAACCTGTAGCTGTAACACACAAGGCTTTAAACACTATGAGCTAACAAACATTTTAACTGAGCATTACCATGTCTTCAGAATTAAGCTCCATCAAAAGGTATTCCCTTCTTTAACTTCACAAAAAACTTTAAAACCAATTAAATAATGTAAAACAGACTATGATAAGAATTGTTCACAAAAACATGAAAGAGTTGTCACTATTTCTAAGGAGGAATTATATTCATGTACAAGAAAAATCTATTAAACATAATGTAACATCTGAAAATACCGAAATAGTTGCACATAGAATACATCTCTGATTCTTCTGAGGTCATAGGTGTTTGCAGGGAGTATACACACACTACTGCATGCACAAATTGCAAATCTTTCTCTCCAGTTTGATCCCTAATAAACATTTTGTGTCAGTTCGGGTTAGCTTATTACGCGATTACTTATATGTATATGTAATGACCGTTTCCCCCTTTTTGTTATTCCTGGAAGAGAGTATTAAATTATATTTATCATATTATGTGAAGTCCCTTGTCTGTGCTCACTTGGATTATGTTTGCATGTGTGGGTACATAGAAATATTGATCATTCAGCCCTATCTTCTTTCTTCATTTTACAATAGTAAATAACATCGTAAATATCAATATAATGATTTGACATTCCTGATCTAAACACCTTCCCATTGAATCCACAAAAATAATTCATGGCTGTTTCAAAGTGGTGAAACCAGTTCGGTAAGTGCACCCCTCCCCCGCACCCTCACACACAGACACACGTAGTTGTCATACTTTCAGTTACGTCTCCAAGAGATTCATTGCTTTGAGGTTAATTCTAATTTATACTCACTTGCTGTTTGGTGATTATTATACAAAAACTTTAGGAAAGTACACTTCTAACTGACCCATGCATGCGAACAGATTTTCCTGCAGCATGGAACCTGTTATGGAAATTCTCTTGAAAGACATCTGTCATCAAAGTTTCATTTCTTGTTTTTTAAAGGTTTATTATATTAAATAAACATTTATATATTTTTTATTTATTATTATTATGTATGTTCATTTTTTTGTGTCAAACTTGTATCTGTCTAACCAGCCACTTTTTTTTGTAAATATGATTTTTATTTTTATTCAATGCAAGAAAAAACAGTGAGACTCGCAGGTCTCTATTCTAGCAGAGATATATTTAAAGCACAAGAAAAACATAACAAGTTAGGCTAGGCCAGTGATAGTCAACCTTTTTCTACCTACCGCCCACTAATGCATCTTTTTGGCTGAAAATTTTTTCTTACCGCCCACCAGTTTTCGCGCAAGTGCAGAATATTTTTTAGATAAGGTGTTTTTAAAAAAAAATAAATGTACGTACATTTATCTTTTTATTTCTACTTAATGCATGTTTATAATGTTTTTAACTTTATAAAGTTTAATGAGAAAACAATAAAGTAAATTGAAATTACCTTTACTAGTGATTAATGAGATCTTGAGGTTGATGCTGCAAGACTAAATATTTGATATCTGGTTCGATTTTCGTAAGGAACAAACGAAGGTCTCCTCTTTCGGTGATATTCAGACGACTTCTCTGTTTGCGCATAATATGATTTCTCATCTGTGCGTCAGCTCATCTCCTCTCCCTCCTCAATTCCCCTCCCCACTTTTTTTTTTCCCTTTTAAAACATGTTTTTTAACCTTCCTTATAGCAATGCCCAGTAGGAAGGCTTAGCTAGGTATCCCACTTACTATTACTTACTATAGCCCACTAACAGACAGGCACACATACATACAGACACACACACACAAGACACACATACACATATACAGACACACAAGACACATACAGACAGACAGACAGGCACACACATACATACAGACACACAGACAGGCACACACATACAAAGACACACACATAAGACATACATACAAAGACACATACACACATACAGACAGACACAAGACACACATACATACGACACACATACATACATACATACATACACACACATATATACAGACACACACACACACACACACACACACACACACACACAAGACACATACAAAGACACACACATACATACAAAGACACATACATAAGACACACATACATACACACACATACAGACACATACATACAGATAGACACACACAAGACATATATAGAAAGACACATACACAAACAAACACACACATTATATTTAAGTCACCCTCCTGTTTCCTACCTTTGAGGTGCAGAAGGGTGACTTTCCCTGGGGTCCAGTGGTGGGTCAGGTGGATGGGAGTCAGAGTTCCCACTCTGACTCCCTCCTCCTCGTTCCTGCCGCACGGTCTGTGTGTTAGCTGGGAGGAGTGACGTGCAGTCACTTCCTCCCAGCGTCTGATGTAATCACAGGGGGCCCGGTCGCGCTGTTAAAGTGCTGTTAAAGCGGCCAGGGCTGACCGGGCCCCCTTACAATCCACATCCATCGGGTGGTCCATGCTGTCAGTACCCCTCCATATGTGGACCCGGCGGTTTGCCGTGCGGGCCGGGGCCGCAAGGGGTACTGCCGGCTCGCACCCGCCTGCCCAATCTGTCAAAATTACAAAATCCCTACCGCCCACCTGGAATCCTGAAACGCCCACTAGTGGGCGGTAGGGACCAGGTTGACGACCCATGGGCCAGGCAATCGAACATACGTTTGGGCGCGCAGGCCCCCAGTATTTGAGGACTTGCAGCTCCCTTTAGTCATATATATTGTGCATTGAGAGCATATGACCTAGTGAAATGTGCTGGTTCACGTGCCGCCCAAGTGTGCGGACACTCCGGCCCTTTGTCAGTGAACTGAATATTGGATTACACTTGTGACATCTTGTTAGTGAAGGAGTGGCTCTAGTCATGTGTGTTGATGACCTTGTGTCAAGTGTGTCCGTAGTATCGGCAGTGCCGTTCTTGCCGACAACGCCGTTATTGCTCCGCGGATGTCTAGTGTCTTATGTCTGGCAGTGTGTCAGTCATCATTAATCACACTTACTCCATTTACCTATAGTACGTATTTGGTAGTCGTCTCTAATCCGTTGGGGTGGGTGGATGTGTCTGGGCTCCGGTGCTGCCCTTGTCCAGCCCATGGTTGTTAGTCCGTATCCCTTGCGGAGATAAGTGAAAAGGTGAGAGGGGAGGGATAGGCATAAGGTGGGGTAGAGAGGGGGAGGATATATGTGGCCTGTCTCCATTTAGTTAGCATCCGGGCCAATAGCTTACGGCTCTTGTTCCTGTGTAGGGAGAAGAACGCCCTATGTCTCAGTGCATCCCTGTGGTGTTTGGTGTGTAAGAGTGACGTTAATTCCCTCCTCAGTTGGAGGAGCTTAGTCTGGTGTGTTGGTAGTTGTGCGAGCTTGTTAAGGCTATCCAACTGTTGTATTTCTGTTAGCAATGCGGTCTTGTGGGCTTCCCTTTGTTTCTTTAGTGTCGTGCCTTGTTGTATAAAGTGTCCCCGTGTTAAACTTTTGTCTGCCTCCCATAGTATGGTGGGGGAAGTCTGAGTCATTGTGTTATGTGTAAAGTATTCCCTCAGTGCCTTCCCAATATCTGCCGTGATGTCTGGTACCAAAAGCAATGAGTCATTAAGTCTCCACTTGGGCACCTTGGGTCTGAAGAGAGGGGATTTGAGTGTGATTGTCACTGGTGCGCGGTCTGACCAGGTCGCAGTGCCATGCTCGGCTTGAAGCACCAGTGGCAGGTGGTAATGTGACATGTAGGAAAGTACCAGTGGTACCTGATTGTATTGGCTATGAGCTGCCTGGTGAGAGGCCGCATGGCCCTGCGGTATGCCAGCATGGCTGGGGATAGATCCGGGTACAGTTGGATTTCAGTCCCTTCCAGTAACACCCTTTCGGTGTCTCTCGCTTTGCATAGTATTTCCTCCTTCAGTTGAATGTTTTCAAGGCAGCATACAATATCTCTCGGTGGTTCCTCCGGAGCACACGGATTACGTCGCCATCTTCTCAGATCTCCAAGCCACGCCCACCTCGTGTATTCTACTTTTATATGACCAACTGCTTAACAACCTAATTTGTCTGCTGCATGTTCACATAGAGCATACAGAGTCTTCTCAGAAGCATGCAGGTTAGATTGAGCAGCAGTTGGTCAGATAATAGTAAAATTTGACCCAGCATAGATGTTTAGCCAGACAAAAAGTTACATTTAAATAATAAATAAATCAAAATAAATCAATATATAACATTTAAACAAAAAAACAAAAAAAACAAAAAAAAAAACCTACTAGTTACAAATCACCCATTTTTCTGTAGTATATTGGCATCAGTGTTGGAGAAAGACCTGTGATGTCATTTTTTAAGGATGTTGCCTGCCTAACATCACGTTTGATGAGCTCTGAGCAAGAAGAGTTTGTGGGACCCTGCACCCAACCACCATCGTTAACACATGCTATTAGCCCCATGCACATATAGAACAAGCCACTTGCGCACATACATGATTTGCCACAAAAGCATACAGAGAAACATGCGTTAGCCCCCAAAACTGTAAGCTGGATATTTCTCAGGGTCCCAGAGACCTCCAAACTGCCATGGACTTATCAACAGGTTTAAAGACTTTCCAATACTGCATGCATTTGTGTGCAAAATTAGCATTTTATATGTATAAAATTCAGTATAATTTGTAGGTGCTTTCTAAATAATATTAATAAAAACTAAACCTAAGTAATGAAATTATTGGTACTTTCTCAAAAAATTCACTTGTTGCAGCTTCACCACCAGTGAAAATTTACATAGCACTTTCCTAAGTTTTAATATTAGGTATGGTCAAGCTGATCAGTAATACACAAAACAGATAGCTGTATGGGGTACAGTATTTAATTATAATTAATTTGTCACAAAAAAATGCATTTTTAAAATTATTTCACCAGAAAAAAAATGTGTAGGGATAAACAGAGATTCCTTTATGTTCAAAGTCAGATTTTCTGTAATACAATTGCCCTATAATTGAGGTTATAATCCTGAAACAAAAGACACTTAGTTCATGTCTACTGAGATATCTGTATTTGTTGTATATTTTATATATGTTTCCTAAAGTACCACTAAAGTCACCCAAACCACTTAAATGGACAATCTGGAAGAGTATGAAAAGTGTGTTCCCTTTATTTCATTTACAAAAAGTGCAGATATCAATAAAAATTCACACTTTTATAACTTAACCTTGTTACACCCCCTGGCTTTCAAACAAACATCCGGTCGTGTTATGTCCTGAATTGTTTAGTATATCTAAACTGCAGAGGCAAACAGGGCCTGGAAGGCAATTGCTCAGAGCACCTGCCTTGCAACACTTCTCCTTGAGCTGCTTTGGGAAGTCTGTGATTGGACAGTCACAGAAACTGTGGGCGGGGAAAAAATGGGAAGACTTACAAAGGCAGCAGGCAAAAGAACTGCATCTTTTGCTTTACTCCCCCCCCCCCCCCCCAAAAAAAATTACATCATTAAATGTAGGTATGTTTTCATGGGGGTATATCTACAAAACAGTGGTTTAAAAAAAAGGATTTTGTATTTCGACAGTAGAATCTCAATCTCAATGAAGTGGTCTAGGTGCAGTGGTCCTGCAATTTTAACTTTAATATGAGAAACATTGGATGCGCATACCATGCATGTGCATCAGGTCTCATTGGAGACCTGATGTACATGTACGGTGAGCGCATTCAATGTTTCTCATTGGGTTGGCTCAGTGATAGAGGAAGCAATGCCTCCACCGTGAGGTTGTGGGAGGGGGAGAGATGAGTAGTGTATGGGAAATCTGGGCGCTGGACAATGCTAAGTAAAAAGCATTTTTTTTAAAGTATCATTATGGCAAACAGTGTTTGGCACCTCAATGTAACTAGGAACAAGGGTACTAAAGCTTAACTAATACAGATTTGTATTCCTAACACTATAGTGTTCCTTTAAAAAGTATGATATATGTTAGCCACAGTATGAAAACTATTCTGTTTCCTTTTAACTCTATCTGCAGTATCACACTAAGTACATGAATGCACTTTTCATTATCAGGAATTCATTTATTTTTTCTGGTCCTTTCCGTCCTCTTTAATGTTTGTAAATTTTTGTTATCTTTCCTAGATGTTTTACAATACCGTTTCTCTGACATCATTGCAAAAAAGCGCAATGGATCAGTGCTTACACCAGAAGAAATAAGATACATGGTGCAAGCAGCTATGAACGGCCAAGCACAAGAATGTCAACTCGGTAATACACGTTATACCATTGACTATGTAGACAATTCCCAACAGTTGATAGTCAGTCACCGCTAGTGAGCAGCTACAACAGAAATATGTATTAATGTTGGCAAAGACTACATACAATGTATCATGACTGCTATTACTACTTTTGACCTAGTAAGAGGGACAGGCAATATTCTTTTCACCAATAAATTTACCTAGCTTCTTCTCCTACTTTATATCTCTTCTCTTTTCCTTATTCTTGTTTCTTATTTCACTAAAAGATGTGATGGTGGTACCGACAAGCCTTCCTGAAAGCAAGATAACGCTACTGTGATCACTTTGAACTTTGTATCTAGTTTTGTGAAACAGTGCTTAATTTCTTTTGTAAAGATGAGTTTCACTCAAGATATACATTAAAAAAAATGCAGACACATGCAAGAGGGTTTTGGGAACCATATGTTCCATGGCCACTGGGATCACCAAATCATTATTAGCTGACTGTTACAAACTATGTTCCTCTAATTTCATGACAACAAAGGGGTGTAGACAGACATGATAACACTTACTATTCCATATTACTTGTAACACCGTTCTATTTCCAGGTGCACTACTTATGGCTATCCGAATTCGTGGAATGGACCCTCAAGAGACAATGACTCTAACCAGGGAACTGGTAGCCTCAGGTCGTGTGCTGCAATGGCCAAAGGAATGGAATGGTTGTTTGGTGGACAAACATTCTACAGGAGGAGTGGGGGATAAAGTTAGCTTACCTTTGGCTCCAGCTCTTTCTGCCTGTGGCTGTAAGGTACGAACATCTGGAAATGTACATGTATCTTAAGAAAAGTATTTATGTGACATCACACATTTTCATAAAAGGTATTTTGGTCACAAGCCAAGGGCACTGAAAAAACTTGGAGCTTGTCATCTGCTTGTCAAATGTTATCTAAAATTTTAATGCATGGATATCAAATAAATTGTTTAGACTTTTAGGTTTCAGCGGACCTCAACCATTTCAGAAATTACAACTCTGTGTCCTGACAGTAAATGATCACAATCTTCTGCAACAGATGACCAGTGCAGCAAAGAGATATCTGCCAATGTTGGCATGCTGATAAGTGAACATATGCTGTTACAATTCAGGTGTACAGTGGTGGAAGATAATTTGTGTTGTCTTTATTATGTTACATTATATGGTACCCAAATCATTAATGTACTTACTGTTTTATAATTAACATATGTTGATTGTTTCATTCAATTGATATGTAGTATAAACAATGGATGGGGGTATTTAAAAACAAACAACTATAGCTATCCTGTTCACTGACTATAGCTGAGTTGAAGATTTTTTTAATATACTACTTAGGCCTTTTTATGAACTGCAATTTTTGAGTGTTACATATATAAATCTATAACTGTCAAGGTTGGTATACTCATAACTATGTGTTTATTATAAACAAAATATATCAATTATGCTTATAATATACATTGATCAGCCACTACATTAAAACCACTGACAGGTGAAATTAATAACATTGACTATATCATTACAATGGCACCTGTCAAGGGGTGGAATATGTTAGATAGGGTTATCTTGGTTTTGAGTGCACTATTACTTTCTTTCTTTTTGTGTTATACTTTTGTTTTACATCACTCTTGATAGTCATTTCATCTTCTGTTTTGTGTGTTATTTTGTTTTTTGGGGTTTTGTTTTTCTAAAGTCACATGCTATAATGCTATAGTTGTCTTTTATGTGTATTAGGTTCCAATGATCAGCGGGCGAGGATTGGGGCATACTGGAGGCACCCTGGATAAACTTGAGTCTATACCAGGATTCAGCTCCCAACAAAGCCCTGAACAGGTTGAAATATTTTGCAAGCATGTATACAAATGGAGGGATTTAATATCTAATATTAGTAACATATTGCATATTTTTATTTTTTATTTAAGACATATTGCAATATAAAACCAGTGCCACTAAGAAATAGTTGATTTTTAGTTTCATTGTGTTAAATAATTTCATAAAAAAACACTAATCACAGGATTGTTCATGGATCTGAATATTTTACAAAGCACTGTGTATAGGAAAGGCTGAAAAGGTAATGTACAGAACATCACAGAGGGGCAATATTTTTATCCAAAACATAAATATTTAACCCAGCTGATGCACAGACCTACAGATCATTTACATGTTTTATTTCCATGGGCAAAGATCCACTAATCAATGTTGTGGTTAAACAATTTAAGATTTCTTATTTATGGTTGCAACTGGCACAAAAAGCAATAACTATTTTAGAGAAGAAAAAGTAAATGAGATGTGATAGAAACATTCCATTGCATTAACCCCTTCACTACCACATTCTTTCTTGATTTAAAAAAAATTAAATAATCACAGTTATTTGAGATGTGGAAAGGATAGCTGGAGCATAAACTGTAAAACAAGAATTCTGTGTGTATATTGCAATACTGATGCCTAAAAGATCTAGGGACTTGTAGTGTCCCATTAAATGATTTGACTACTTACACTGAATGGACACCAGGGCACTCCTGTCACCATAACCACTAGAGCAGGCTCCTATCACTATCAGAGTAAATATTACACCTGAGGTAAAGAGGTAAAGAAGTTAACTAGTGCAATGCGCAATACATCCTATTAAATTTGTGCATGGCAAAAATATTGATTCATCCCCAAAAGAATTTTGACTCGGATGAACCGAATGTTGTCCATGTAGTGTTTCAGTTTGGACAAATTACATCCATGTAATCGTTTTGGAAAAAAATATTCTAATAAATACAAATGTAGTGAAAACGCAACCTATTAGAGTACTTGACCCCAAAATCAGTTTCCCTCCTCCTATTTATGGAGCCATGGATGAAACTCTGAATCACGAAACAAACTAAACAGTTAGTTCATTACCTGTTTCAGTTGTTTCATGATACGTCCATGTCGTATTTCAGAGTTGCAGAAATTTGATGAATCACCGATTGCCCAAAATTTGGACGGAATGCTATTTGTTTGAAGCCACGAGTCTACATCATATCTATGGTTGATCTAAAAAGTACATTTATTCTATACATAAGTACATTTAAGCATCACAGTCTATAAGCATGTAGTTCTCAATAAATATATGTGAAATATGGCAAAACGGGTATATGGAAACATTAAGGGCAACATGTTCAGGTGAAGTGCATACCATAAGTGCATCTTTTATAGTGTCCTGGTAAAGTTGTTATGGTAATGAATTGTAAAATGTGCCTTTTCCTTGACATACATCTAATTTGCAAAATGGTGTTGCTGTATCACAGGAGGTGAGCATGCGTAGTATGTAGAAATTAAAGGTTGGAGTGGACTACGGAAACCAACCATTATTCATCTACCAGCTGCTGGTATGAACAATGCTTAAAGGGACACTGTAGGCACCCAGACCACTTCAGCTCATTGAAGTGGTCTAGGTGCAATGTCCTATGTCCCTTGACCCTACAATAGTAATTATTGCAGTTATTGAGAAAATGAAGTAATTACTTTCCAGGCTTTACTCCACCTCTAGTGGCTGCCTACCAGACATCCACTAGAGGGCTTTCTGGTTTTTAAAGGGACCTTTGGTCTGATATCTGATGCTGGACATTCTCACACTCTGCATGAGGACCGCCAGCATCAGAGTTTTACCCATATGAAAGCATTACATAATGCTTTCCTATGGAGAAATCTTAATGCGATCGAGGCCATTGCCGCGCATACGCATTAGGTCCCTCCCGCCGGCTAATGTCAGCTGGAGAGGAGCATGGGCAGAGCCTGACCAAGCACGAGGGACATCGGTGCTGGCTTCAGGCAAGTGACTGGAGGGGATTTAGGGAGGGGGCGTGAGGGAGGGAGCACCATAGGATTCTATAGTGCCAGGAAAACGGCTTTGTTTTCCTGACCGTATAGAATCTCTTTAGCATCTGAATTTTTTTACCAACAAGCATGGATTTTGTTTCCTATATTGGCAGAACATGTCTCCATATTCAGCAGTTTGCCCTGTACTTGGCTGGCATTATACTGGCACTAATTATGTCAGTTCATCTATTTATAAGTAGATATCACATACTTTGTGTATTAATAATGTTTAACAGATTATTCATACATTTGCACATTATTTCATCTAGATTGTAAATTTCCATTGCAAGAGGGCCCTCCCCTTCTCCTGTATTAATTAATCAATTTTGGCGGAATGTGATGGCGCTTTATAAATAAAACATGATAATGACAATAATAATGATGGGTGTGACAGATTATTCCAATGTGTTTGTAGATGGAGACCATCCTGAAATCTGTTGGCTGCTGCATAGTTGGGCAGTCAGGAGATCTAGTGCCAGCTGACAAAATTTTCTATGAAATTCGTGATGTGACAGCCACAGTGGATAGCTTGCCACTAATTACAGGTACGTGCTACCTAACCAGATGTTTCTCATAAATTCTCTTGCCCTATAGGTATTTAGATCTCCTCTCCTGATCTCTCCCTGTCCCTCTTGACTAGTGTCTCTGACTGCCTCTCTGCTGTTTCTAACTGGATGGCTGCCCACTTCCTTAAACTAAACTGAAATTCTGGTCTTTCCTCCCTCAAGTATTGTTAGTCCTGTGTCTGTCTCCCTCCAAGTCAACAGTGCTGCCATCAGCAGCACCACGCAGGCTCGCTGCCTAGGTGTTCTCTTTGACTCCGACCTCTCCTTCAAGCCTCATGTTCAGTCTATCGCCAAATCCTGTCATTTCCATCTCAAAAACATTGCGCGCATCCGTCCCTACTTAACGCCAGATGCGACTAAGGTGTTGGTCCATTCCACTGTCCTTTCTCGCCTTAACTACTGTAATCTGCTTCTCAGTGGTCTTACGTGCTCCCAACTAGCGCCGTTACAGTCCATAATGAATGCGGCAGCGAGGCTCATCTTCCTGTCCGCAAGCACCTCCCATGCCTCACCCTTCTGTCAATCCCTACATTGGCTTCCTATAAAATATAGAGCTCAATTTAAAATTCTGGTTCTTGCTTTCAAATCGCTACATAATGCTGCTCCCACCTATCTATCCTCTTTTATACACAAGTATGTCCCGTCTAGGCCCTTACGATCTGCTGAAGACTTACGTCTATCTTCTGTCCGTACTTCCACCTCTGAAGCTCGCCTTCAAGATTTCGCGAGGGCTGCACCGTTCCTGTGGAACTTCCCTCCTCCTTTAGATGCTCACTCAGTCTCCACTCCTTCAAAAAATCGTTAAAAACCCACTTCTTCATAAAAGCGTATCAATTAAACTGTTAATAGCTCCTGAATGATTCCTTTCTTGCAACTGTCATTAGCCTAATACTATCCTTACCTTTTTGTGTCATTTTACCCCACTCCCTCTAGCATGTAAGCTCATTGAGCAGGGCCCTCAACCCCTCTGTTCCTGTCTGTCCAACTTGTTTGGTTACAACTACATGTCTGTTCGTCCACCCATTGTAAAGCGCTGCGGAATTTGACGGCGCTCTATAAATATCATCATCATAATAATAATAATAATAGATAGAAATATTCATTATTTAATGACAGGCTACCATCTAAAATTGTACACATGTATGATATCACGTGCAAGCACATTTCCCTGGCTACCCAAAAGGCAGCCATCTAGTTTGGCTAATTGCTTGATGATTTCTATATTATTTTTTTTCTATGTGATTTTTACTGAAAAAGAAAAAAAGTAGTATACAATAAATAGTGATGTCTAAACAAGAGTGACATTTGTAGGGTTTATGATATCTTGATTTGGACTGGGTGATGATTTAATTGTTCCTGCTTGATTCATGGACAGTGTGGGCGTTTCTGGGCTGGCTCAGGGTAATAATGTTTTTTGTTTTACTGCAGCTTCAGTAATGAGCAAGAAAGTAGCGGAAAGCGTTTCAGCACTGATCCTGGATGTAAAGTTTGGAGAGGCAGCACAGAGCCCAACCATAGAGGAAGCAAGAACTTTGGCCCAGAGTCTTGTAGGTTTGAAGGCATTTTAACTCATCCAAAGACTTTATGTATCAATCGTTAATTGTAGTATTCATAATTGGATTATCACAGTTTTGCAGAAATTGTGAATAATGGGCCAGGGAGACTCTGAAAATAAACTGCAGCAGTTTTTTCAGTTTGTCAAATTTAAGAATTTCTACACTCATTATTCCATGTATTTATTAATACAGAATCCCATTAAAAAAATATATATACTAACAATAACATATGGAAGTCTTTTAAATGGGAAACCACCACTTCTTTGTAAAGTACATCATTGAATAAAACAGTAAAAATTACCTATTACTTGTGTTAACATTTTTCATGTGATGCTCAATTTTCTTTTTAATTTATATTAAAGATTTAGCAAATTGCATCACAATCCAGTTCATCCCAGGCATAGAAAGTGCACGCATTTAAAGGGACACTATAGTCACCAGAACAACTACAGCTTATTGAATTTGTTCTGGTGAGTATAATCATTATCTTCAGGCATTTTGCTGTAAACACTGTCTTTTCAGAGAAAATGCAGTGTTTACATTACAGGCTAGTGATAACTTCACCTGCCACTCCTCAGATGGATGTAAGAGATCCTTCCTGGGTCGTGGCTGCCTAAAATGCATCCAATCATTCAGTATCTCCTCCCTCTGCATGCAGACACTGAACTTTCCTCATAGAGATTCATTGATTCAATTCATCTCTATGAGGAGATGCTGATTGGTCAGGGCTGTGTTTGAATCATGCTGGCTCTGCCCCTGATCTGCCTCCTTGTCAGTCTCAGCCAATCCTATGGGGACGCACTGTGATTGGATCAGGCCACCACTTCTAATGATGTCAGCAGACTGCTTGTTTTTTTTGTTTTTTTTTAAGGCAAACAGCATGCAGAGTTACAGCTTCTGGCTTGAATACAGTAAGATTTTGCCATATTTATGGAGGCATGAGGGACCCAGCAGGGCTAGATGGTGGTTTTAACACTATAGGGTCAGGAATACATGTTTGTGTTCCAGACCCTAAAGTGATACTTTAAATGAGGAGGATAGATAAACATTGTTAAATGGTTATAAAATCCTTTGGAGGAGGGAAGGGTGAGCCTTTTCTGTGTAATATGCCCTAATGGGCACTATGCATTAGGTCCCACCACTTGATTTGCAGGTAAAACCTGCAAAAAATATTTACTGTTTAATGCATGCAATTTGAGCCGGCAAAGGGAAGTAAACAGGGAGGGAGGGAGGTGGGTGGGATTTTCTTTTTCTTTTTATATTTAAGCTATGACTTTATTAGGAGGAAGGGAAGGGAGTGGAGAAAAAAACACTTCCGTATGCATACTGGTGAAGAATATATGTTATGCACAGAATTGACATTGGGAATTGAGTTCCAGGAAGCAAAAATGAAGCTGAAACAGTGCACATACTCTTACGAACATGACAACTTCAAATCGCTGACATTTTTCTCTCTATGCTGAATCATTGACAGGGAGGTAAGATGGAGGCGAATAGTTGTAGGATAGATGTGTACACATGTAATTTTATTTTGCAGATCTCACAAATACACATTTGTATACATATTTGTTTAATATGTGGGCTAATAAATATAATATGTAGAATCCCGTGGGTGACGGTTTCCCTTATTATTTTTGTACATATTTTATTGTGTAGTTGTCTCGTTTTAGGTCAATGTGGGGTTCTCCCTTGGTATTCCCACAACAGCACTCCTTTCTAAAATGGACAATCCTATTGGTCGTTGTGTGGGAAATGCTCTGGAGGTCATAGAGGCTCTAGAATGTTTGGAGGGGACTGGTTCAAGCGATCTTCGGGAATTGGTGACACACACAGGTCAGCATATTACAACCTATAAAACGTGCTTTTTTTTACTCTATTCCTATATGGAGAATAAAGCCTCCATTGCCCAAAAGTTCAAGAAACCTATTCTGTGTTACTGTTAAAACATTTCAACATTACATGTCAATTAAATAATTTTGGGTCATAGATGCTGCTCCCGCAGCCTTGCAGATGAAAATAGTGTCATTTCTGAGAAATAGTAGAGTTTTTTGTTTTGTTTTTAAACATTCTGTGTTTATTGGTTTGGTGTTTTTGGCATAGAGTTAATCATTACAGAAAGGAAACGTTGCCCTGGGTTTGTGCAGGGTTTTCGTCCGTGGGCGCTTCCTGCTGGTGTTTGATTCGATTTGTGGCTCTATGGCCTTTATTATCAAGAGTCAGAATGTGGAAAACATAACAAATGTAACAACTTAACAAGAACTGAATTATAGAAAGAAAAAAACAAACAAAAAAGGAAGTGATATACCATGATGGTATTAATGATGGGTATAGGAGTTGTTTCGTTGGCCGAGGTGTGATTCGGCTTGCTGGAGTTGGTTCCCAGTGCAGACCAATTTGTCAACTTCAACCCATAATGGGATCGAAATGCCATCAGAGGTGTATATATGTTTCCCTGTATCTGCCTTGTTTCCAGTATAGGTCCGAGTCTGACCTTCCCATTCGATAGAGAAGTGTGGGTGTCAAGTACCATCTGAGCATGGTCTTGTAGGCCTGCTGCTTATGGTTCACGCAAATAGATATAGAGGCTGTAGCCTCCCATATGTCCTGCCAATCTGATGCTTCATCTGGGGGTCCCACGTCCCTCTCCCAGGCCGACACATAGGCTTGTGCCCCTGGGGGCTGGTTGGTGATTAGGAGTTTGTAGTTGTCAGTGATCTGACCTTTGCGGACTGGGCCATGCATGCAGGTTCGTTCAAAAGATGAGAATTTGGTGGTGGCCGCTTTCCTGTTTTCTGAGTGTTCTAGGAAGCTGTTTAGTTGTAGGTATCTGAAAAAGACATGGGTGTTGTATGCTATGTTATGTCATGGTAAATCGTATGGGATTACATACTGCCTCTGATTGAAAAATCTGTTGGAGTTGTCACAAAACTAATGCGAGCGCAAAAGTGAGTTTTCTAAAGCACTGCTAGCATATCGCAGTATACCACTTGCATGTGGTTACTCGCCTGCACAACTTCTTATGGGAAGACGCCTGCATACTAATCTACCTATGAAGGATGACCTGCTTGCAACAAGAAAAGGTGCACAGGTAAAGCAGCTTAAAGAGAAACAGAAGGAGAAACAGAAAGTCTATTTTGACTCAAGGGTTAAATCTTTATCTGAACTGCATAAGGGACAAAAGGTGAGGATTAAGGACAAGAACAATACATGGATACAGAAAGGTTCCATAGAGGAACAAGTGCAACCAAGATTTTACATGCTTCGGACAGAGGAGGGAAGGATTCTTAGAAGGAATAGAAGAGACATTCTAAAAGAACCAAAGCAGAAATTTTCCAACACTGAATTAGAGACTGATCAGGTTGTTAGACAGTCTACACGACAAAGAAAAAGTCCTGAAAGACTGATAAAGTCATGTTTATATATATATATATATATATATATACATATATATATATATATCCAACAAGTTAGACAGTATGCATAAGTACTTGCTCGATTAATATGTTTGGTTATAGCATGTTTTTTCTTTAACATGGAATTTTCTTAAGAGAGGAAGGTGTAGTGATATGTGCATATTAAAGGACTGTGTTGCTTTAAGAGGCTGGGGGATTCCCTGAGAAGGAGGGCTTAGGAGAGCACTCCATGTTGTGAGTTTAGCAGTGACTCTGCAAATTATGTTTCGTGACTCATGGAAGTAAAGCTGTTCATATGAAGTGAGCGTCAGCATTGATTATTCTGCAAGAACCACAGAAAAAACACAACAGTTGCATATCTGAAAACAGCTTGCAAAAGCTGTAGTTCTCTTGTCTGAAACATTTGCAAGCCCTACCCTTTTAATCCCGCCCAGACTTTCTGTGGCTGTCCAATCACAGACTTCCCAATGTAGTTCAGGTTTTTTCAAGAGGGGTGCTCTGGGCAATTGCTTGTCTCCTGTCTTTACCTCCACTTAGCTAACCAAACCAGGAAGTAACAGGACTAGTTGTCTTATTGACAAGCCAGAGGGGTGTAACAAGGTTAATTTATAAAAGAGTCAGTTTCTATTGAAATCTGCCCTAATTGTAAGATGAAAAAAGAGGACACACTCTTCATACACAAAGCAATTTGGCATGCTAAAGTGATTTAGTTGTTTAGAGTGTTCCTTTAATACTGATCGTAAACATTTAAAGCTTTATATGGGAGGGGCCCATAAATGATTTTAAATTGTAAATGATAAAATTATACTGTTAAATAAACTGTTACTTTAAATTAAATATAAACCAGAACTATCTACTGCTGTTATCCCCTGTAAAAAGTACAGGAGAGAAAAGAGTGCATAAATGCAACCCTTATAGGATTATTACTTTAATTTTAATTATTTTTGAGCATTTCAACATGTCACAGAGAAGTGTTTTGATTTTGCTTTCTTGATAGGTGGTCACCTTCTTTGGTTATGTGGTAAAGCTGCATCTGCCACACAAGGAGCAGAACTAATTGCGAAAGCCCTGAATGATGGCTCTGCACTGCAGTGTTTCCGAGCGATGTTAGAGGCACAAGGAGTACATCCTGATATTGCCAGGACGCTCAGCTCCAGCAGCAGTCTTTGCAAAGCACCTCATCAGGATGTGCTGAAAGCAGAGAGAGTAGGTAAGAGCATACAGAGCAAGCAATATAATCTAGTTAGCAAGGTTGCTTGGTGAGCAATGGATTAAATTAGCAAACTTGATAAAGATAGTATTTCTCTAACAGGTTCTTGTAAAGCTAATAACGTGGAACTTAAATAGTGTCTAGCTTAGTGTCTAGTTCCTGTTATATAATCTCTACGAGGCTATGCTATATATATAAAGGGTGGAGCAAATTAAAATAAAATTATAAAAAAAACTAACTAGAAACTATAGGGAAAAGTATATTGTTGTCTCCTCTTGGAGAGACTTTGATATTGTTTTAAAATTATGGGTGAAGAAGGTAATCCATTCATAGCATAACACTAAACTGCTAAAATATTTTCTCTTTGCTAAATCATGATGCCTTATTCTAAATGGTTTAATTTTTTTTTCTCAAACTCTTTCTTGTAAAATGCAAGTAGTGTAATGTGCGCAGTGTTGATGTACCCAAGAGGTCAAGTTTTTTTTATCCTTTCCTGTCTTGGCGGTTGTACCCCTTTCCTTTCCCAGTTACCTACTTCACCCTTTCACTAAACATAATAAATCATGCTGCCAGGGTTCTAATCCTTACTCATTATTCTAAATGCCATTCCATATATTGTCCATTTGTATAATTTAATATTAAATATATATGTGTCATGATATACAAAGTTCCTTTCTATCGGTAGATAATCTTTCATTTTCCAGAGCTTGCATGACTATGTTACAGCCTAAATATATATTCTGATCCTGAAACCTTAGTATGTTAGAAGCAGTGTCATAAATTATTTACTTAATTTATAAAATCGGAATATGGCCAGGCTATGTGTACCTGAAAATGTAGTACACATTTCATACGTCAGATATGAAAGAAATATTCCTTTAAATTGTCTAAGTTTATAAAATAAAAAGATTATAAACCCTCACAAAACACCAAAACATGATAATATTATTTAAAAATGACTAGTTTTATACAATCCTATGCCAGGGACAGTTGAGCTGATCCGGGCAAGACCAATTGCTGAAATTCTGAATGCATTGGGTGCTGGGAGGAGCCGAGCCACCGATACCATTAAACACAGTGTTGGAGCAGAACTGTTGGTGGCTGTGGGACAACATGTGGAGAAAGGTAATTATTTAGATATCAGTGATTTTTTATCTCAATATTTCTTTATTTAAGTTTTTTAACAAATACAATTTATATCAATTTACATTTAAATATTCAGTCACTTAAACACAAATACATAATGATTCACATTACATATAAATGTACTACATTCATATCGGGGGGTTCCAAGGATAAAACTTTTACAAATTCTGAATATCAAGTATCTTTTAACTTCAAGTTCAGGGTAGATCTTACATAGTTGACAATTTATTTAGCCAATTTTCATACATAACATTTTTATTTATTTGAGAAATATTATTTATCGTAAGCGATTTTTCCATATTCAATTGTGTTTTAATTTAAAAGAGTATATGTTGTTTTTGAAAGGGTAAGGAGGACCTCCAATTTCTGGCTATTATAATTTTCATAGCTATGAAACAATGAACAGCAATACAGATATCATTTCGTGATTTTAAATTCCAGTTTACATGTAATAATGCAACTGTAGGTGAAAATATTAGTTTTATAACTGTCAGATGATAATAGAGTTTAAAGACCCGAGACCAAATTTCATTAACACATGGGCAAAACCACCATATGTGAATATATGAACCCAAACTACTACCACAACTCCAACACGTAGGGTCGCAATTCTGATACATTTTGGCTAATTTATTTGGTGTTAACTACCATTTGTTTATAACTTTAAAATGGCACTCTATCAAATTCAAGCAATGTATATTTTTAGACGTATGTGACAAAGAGGAACACCATTCTTCCAGTGTTATTGTTAATTCTTGCTCCCAGTAATTTATTATTTTCGTTGGGTTATCATTAAGTAAGTCTAGAAGGAGATTTGCTTTAGAAATTACTTTATTAACATAAATATTGCCAAATATATTTTCCATAAGACCTGCTGACTGAAATGAAGATTTTAAAATATTAATATCTACGAAATTTTTAATTCTTAAATATGTAAAGATTTCCCTATTTGGGACTTGAGACTTTTTCACCATTTCTTGAAATAGAATGATCTTATCATCTTTCATTATTTGTGAAATTGAAATTGTATCTTTATTTGGCCAATTCTTTAATGATAAGTCTTTCATAATTTGTTCTAGTACAGTTAATTTACAGGTTTTTGGTATATATTTGGCAATTCCCAGAGCATTTTTTTATCTCCTACCAAACTTGTAAAAGTTGATATAATATTAATGATGTATCTGTAAGGGCCTCTATATGTTTCTTATCACAGTTTAACCATAGATAGTACTCTAAATTCCTTGTTTTAGTTGCTTCTGCTTCAATAACGTACCAAGGGTCTACATTCTAATTCACATGTTGCTCTTGTAATTTGTATATATGTTTAATTACATTCGCATAATATATAAGTTTTGCGTTAAGAAAGTTTAAACCCCCTTGTTTTGTCTTTTTAGAAAGTGTCTTTAATCTGATCCTGGGCTTTTTATTCTTCCAGATATAAGATGAAAAACTGGCTTGAATCAAATCTAGCCAGCTCTTCGAAATTTTGAGAGGAATCATTGCAAATAAATAGGACCATTTGGGTACTATCTATGCGTTTACAACATTTATTTTCCCCCACCATGATGTTTGCACATTTCTCCATGATTTTAGTGTTTTATTAGTATATTTTAATAATTCCATTACATTCAATTCCATTGTATTTTCCACTGTAGCTGGAATTAAAACTCCTAAATGATTTATTACTTTTTTAGTCCAAATAAAGTTATATTCCTTTCTCAATTTTTCTACAATTGATTTATCCATATTTTTATACATTGCTGTGGACTTTAGTGTATTTAATTTATAATTTGAAACCAAAGCATATTTATTAATTTATTTCATTAATTCTGGTAGAGATTGTTCAGGAGAAGTCATTATAATTGTAGTATCGCCCGCATTTAGCGAAATTTTGATTTCCCTTATGGCGATATGAAAGCCTTTAATATTACAATTATCCTTAATATTAGTTGCTAATGGTTCCAATGATAATATATATAGCAGAGGTGACAAAGGGCACCCCTGCCTTGTACCATTCTTTAATTTAAACCACTCTGCGCATATATTGGTTTCAACAGTCCTCGCTGATGGAACCGAATAAAGTGCCATAATGGCGTTAAAAATCATACCACTAAATCCATATTCCTCCAGAAGACTCATTATATATCCCCAGCCGACTCTGTCAAAGCCTTCTTTGCGTCTAATGACAGAGTCAGCAGGGGAATCTGCCTCTTTCCTGATTAATTATCTAATATATCTAAAATTGTCCTAGCACTATTGGTTGTAGACCTTCTTGGTACAAAACCGGTTTGGTCTGTATGTATTATTTTTGGGATAATATTTTTCAGTCTTTCGGCAATAATTGAGGCATATAATTTAACATCGACATTGATTAGTGAAATTGGTCTGTAATTTTCTACATATCTACTGTCTTTACCTGGTTTTACAATGGAAAGAATATTCAGTTGGAATAATTCTTTAGGAGTTTTGTTATTTAATGCAAACTCATTAAAAAAATCTGTAAGGGGTTTGATCAGTATGGATTTCATCATTTTATAATATAAATTTGTATATCCATCAGATCCTGGAGTTTTATTTAGTTCTAATTTGCTAGTCAACTTCTTCTAAAGAAATTGCTTGATTTAATATTAAGAGATCTTCTAAAATCTTCGAAATTTTTGTATTAGTTAAATACTTTTGTATTTCTATATTTTTTGGTTTTAAATTTAAATTATATAGTTCCTGATAGAATTTATTAAATTTTTGTCCAATTTGTTCTGGAGAGGTATAGATCATATGATCATCCTCAAGTTTTTCGACTCTGTTTCTAGATCCCTGATTTAGCAGTTTCATAGTTAAGTTTTTATTTGCACAATTCCCCGTATAATAAGTATTTAATTTCAATTTATTTATATTTATTTTCATTTTTTCTTCTATTTTTGCGTTAATTACATTTTGTAAATTATTAAATTTTATTTTTCCTTCTTGTGTTGGTTGCAATTTATTAAATTTAGAAAGATTATTATAAGCCATGTGTAAATCTGTTAATATTTTCCCTGTTCTTTCCCTTTGTATATGATCCATTTTGATTATATAACCCCTCATTACCGCATTGTGAGCGCACCAGTTTATAGTGTGTGAAGTCTCATTAGGCTTATTTTTCTCAAAAAACTATTTTAAAAGATTTGATAACTCCTTTTTAATTAACTTATCTTTTAATCTCCAAGAGTTCATTGGATATCTGTGGGATTTCCCTATATCAATCAATATAAAATTATGATTGGACCAAAAATTATTTTTTATTATAATTTTACTAATAATCGGGATCATGTTGGCATTTACCAAACACATATCTATTCTCGAATGTGAGCCGTGTGCGCTGGATATATGGGTATAATCCTTTTCCATAGGGTTTCTGGCGCGTCATGCATCGTATAGGTCATACCTTTTACAGAGGGCCGTCAATCTCTTAGATTGTTTTTTAGTTCTGTTATCACTCTTTGGGTTGCCCTGTGATATTTTATCTAACTTGGGGTCCATAATGCAATTAAAATCCCCGGCTATAATCAATGTGCCTTTCATTATGTTCTGTACCCTATTCATTATCTTGGTTAACATTGAAACCGGATCCATGTTTGGTAAATATATCTATTTACCAAAGTGTAGGGAGTCTTTCCTATTTCGCACACCAAAATGAGATATCTGGCAAATTCATCAGATTCCTGATATTTAATATCTACTTCAATCTCTCTAGAGAACACTATTGCAACACCTCTTTTCTTTTTATTTAAAGATGCATGTTTGATTAAAGGGAATCTATCTCCTCCCCAATTCTGCGGCTTATTTTGTAACCAATGTGTTTCCTGTAAAAAACTGATTTGTATATTTTCTTGTATTAACAAATGATATAACCTGTTTCTTTTAACAACAGTGTTCAACCCCTGAACATTTACCGACATTATCCTGAACATTTAAGCCAACCAATATTCAACAATCCCTCTCCCCCTTCTTTAAGTACAATTTCGTAAAAAACATTTAAAACATTTATATCAGGCTGACAGACCCAAGAATTGTCTGCAGTCCTAAACCATACATAATCTTTTTGGGACATACTTCCTCATTTATCTTTGTAACTATTTTAGTTACAGAGAAAACTGTAGTGTTACTACAGAAAGTGGGGCATACCTTAAATGGAGTGAAGGAATGCAGGTGCCTCTATGTTGTATTATCCTTCTTTATATCTCATTAACCACGTAATACAAATTGCTTTAGGTCTTTATTATCGGTGGTTCTATCCCTAATAACTTAATCAATTCATTGTTTATATTTTCAACTATATTAAGGTGATCCTTTTCTTATTTAACCATTTTGTTTTACAGTTGTGTTTTGAATCTTAATTCAATAACAAATTGACATTTACCTATCTTGTGTTATTCCCTTTAATTTTAAACTAATTTATACCACCATTTGTTAAATACAAATCAACATTAACCTTAGTGCAATTCATTTTTATCTACTATTTGTAAATTCTCTATTATCTAAGAGAGTCTGCCCTTTAAAATTACCCTTCTACAGGGGCGTACCTAGAGCATTTGGCACCCGTGGAGGATCCTATGCTTGGCACCACCTTGCCCACCACCACCCTCCCCCCCAAAAAAAAAGCCTGTAAAAAATGTTAAAGGTTTTCTTTCTTTTTTTTTTAACAATTTGTAAACTTTGCAAAACCGCTGTCAGCCCCTCCTACAAAACCCTTGTCCTGCCCTGCCCCTCCTACAAAACCTCTGTCCTGCCCCTTCTACAAATCCTGTACTGCCCCGTCTACAAAACCCCCGCAACCCCCTTCCACAAATCCCCTGCTCATCCCCCCCTTATAAAGACTCCTGTCCAAATACAAAATTCCCGCCCCCTTCTACAAAATCCCTGCAGCCCCACACACACATTTACAGGCAGACAGTCACACACTCAGTTACAGACAGACAGTCACACACTCAGTTACAGACAGACTGTCACACACTCAGTTACAGGCAGACAGTCACACACAGTTACAGGCAGACAGTCACACGCACGCAGACACACATGCAGTCACAGACAGTCATATATACATTGACACACACACATGACAGCAGCAGACAGTAACATGCACACAGTCACAGACAGTCACACACGGTTACAGGCAACATCAAACAGTCACAAGCAAACAGTCACACATACACTTTTCCTCCGTGCGGCCAGTTTATCAGCTGTTTGCTTGTGTGAGCTGTACTGGCCGCACGGCACCCTAACTACCATGGGGCACTGTGCGGACACAGCTCACACAGCCCCCTCCAGTCAGGGCTGGTGCAAGGATTTTTGCTGCCCTAGGCAAAAGTAAAGTTTGCCGCACCCCCCATGTGACATCACAATGCCCCACCCATATGATCTGCCATGTTAACTAATGCCAGTGCTGCAGTGCTGCCGTGTTTACATTAAACACTATAGACACCAGAACCACAACATTAAGCTGCAGTGGTTCTGGGGACTATAGTGTTTCTTTAATGTGAGGCAAATTAGAGCTTAGTGCCACGAATAATATACTAGATTGCCTACTTATAACCAGATAAGGATGATGATGGGCTCTAGCTGCAGTCTGGCTCCACTGGTCTGGTGTAGAACAGGCTCTCTGGAGGCGGTTTGTAACTGTGGTCACAAAAATCAATGTTCTGGGAGAACGGGAAGCAGCTCCATTTTTTGGGGGCCCTTTACACAGCTCATGGTCTGGGTCCCAGGGTCCACCTTCATGTTCCACCAATGAGTTTGTTCACAGGGGGTGGAGTGTGTAGGGGATGTCCTGATATGTGTGTAAGGAATGCATTGTGTGAATCTGTGTTTGTATGTGTAAGGGCTGCAAGGTGTGTTTCTGTGTATGTACGGGATGCAGTGTGTGTGTCTGTAAGGGATGCATTGAGTGTGTGTATGGCGTGCATTGAGTGTGTGTAATGAATGCATTGTGTGTTTCTGTGTGTGTAAGGGATGCATTGTGTGTAAGGGATGCATTGTGTGTAACGGTTGCATTGCTTGTGTATGTGTGTCTGTGTGTGTAATGCATTGTGTGTGTTTCTGTGTGCAAGTGGTGCATTGTGTGTGATGAATGTCAATCTCTCCCCCCCTCCAATTTCCATCTCTCCCCCCTCTCCAATTTCCTTCTCCCCCTCCCAATTTCTTTCTTTCCCCACTCCCAATTTCTTTCTTTATCCCCCCTCCCAATTTCTTTATTTATGCCCCCCAATCTTTCTTTATTCCCCCTCCCAATCTCTTTCTTTATCCCCCCCAATCTTTCTTTATCCCCCAATTTCTTTCTTTATCCCCCCAATCTTTCTTTATCCCCCTCCCAATTTCTTTCTTTATCCCCCCATCTTTCTTTATCCACCCTCCCAATTTCTTTCTTTATCCTCCCCAATCTTTCTTTTCCCCCTCCCAATTTCTTTCTTTATACCTCCCAATTTCTTTCTTTATCCCCCAATCTTTCTTTTTCTCCCCTCCCAATTTCTTTCTTATCTCCCCAATTTCTTTATATCCCCGCTCCCAATTTCCTTCGACCCCCCTTCTAATTTCTTTATCCCCCCCACCACTGTTGTAGCGTGGCCGAGCCCTCTATGGTTCGCGGGTACAGGGAGCTTTTGTTTTCTGTACTCGGCCGGACTAAAAGGAAGTGCACACTCAGTGCACTTCCTTTTAGTCCGGCCGGGTACAAGAGACAGATGCTCCCTGTACCCGCGGACCATAGAGGGCTCGGCCACGCTACAGTGAGGGAGTGACAGGAGGGAACGCTGAGCGCTGAGCGCTTCCCTCCTATCAGCCCCTCTCCTCATGTTGCGCCCGGTTGGTGCGGTCCGCCCTCATGGACGCACCAGCCTGGGCAAAGCTGCAGCTGCCTGAGGCTCTCTACAGAGCGCTCGGGCGGCTGCAGCATGAGGGTCATGACACCCCCCACCCTGTGGGCACCCGGGGCGGACCGCCCCCTCCGCCCCCCCCTTAGTACGCCACTGCCCTTCTATATCAATATATATTTATACTAGTTTATACAACCATTTCTAAAGTGCAAGTCGACATCAACCATAGTGCAATTCATCATTATCTACTCTTTGTAAATTCTCTATTGTCTAAGAAAGTCTGCCCTTTAAAATTAACCTTCTAAAATTATCCTTCTGTGTCAATATATTATTGCAAGCCTTTAGTCATAAGAAAAAAAACGAAAAAAAAACCCACGTATTTCCTTATCCTTGGAACCTTGTTATTTACAGTGTTATCTTAATTTTAATTAAATATCAAATTAATTATTATCTATTTATACTTCAGGTATAATTTAAGTGTAATTAAACATCATCAATAGTGCATTTACCATACTATTTCAAAAATACCCTTCTGTGTCTCATATGTTTATCTCTCAATAGTGATCAATATTATAGTAGAGAAAAAAAAATAAAAAAAATAAAAAACCTTATAACTTAATTTCTTGTCATTAGCACCTTTCTTAATTTGTTATTTTCAGTTTTATCTTAAATCTTAATCAAATATCACATTAATTTTATCAATTTTTACTTCAGGTATTATTTAAGTGTAATTCAACCTCATCAATAGTGCATTTACCGTGCCAGAAAATACCCTTCTATATTTTATATGTTTATCTCTCATATGTGAAAAAAAACCAAAAAACCCCAAAAACCTTAATTGATACATAGATTTTGATAAACCAAATTCTTAAGTGTTAGCCAATTTGTTAATTTCTCGTGTCTCAAAGACTTCTCAAAGACTTCAGAACGGCTATCATAAGTAAGGATTAATTTCCACCACTTATATCTTATTTCATGCCTTCTTAAGATCAGAATTGCTGGATTGAAGGCTCTTCATTTCATACGGGTATTGTATGATATGTCTGGCATTATTATTACATTTAGGAAGCGTCCTGTTTTAATTGCTTTCTGTCTAAACGCCTTCAATACTTTTTCTTTAAAGTCAAAGGAATAGAAACAAGCGATCACATCTCTAGGGAAGGATTTTTCAATGTTTTGGGGTTTAAAGACTCTATGACAGCTTTCTATTATATCCTCATGTTCTTTAAGTGTTAGTCCCAATTCCTCAAACAATTCTTTCAAAATTTCTTTTAGATCTTGCTGATCATTTAACTAATCTAACTTTCTGAAACTGAGGTTTTTTTCTTCTTGATCTATCTTCCAAGTCATCTATCTTTAAAGGACCACTATAGTGCCAGGAAAATATACTCGTTTTTCTGGCACTATAGTGCCCTGAGGGTGCCCCCACCCTCAGGGTCCCACTTCCGCCGGGCTCTAGGGGGAGGAAGGGGTTAAACTTACCTCTTCACCGTCTGAATGCGCATGCGCGGCAAGATCTGCGTGCGCATTCAGCCAGTCCATAGGAAAGCATTGTGAGTGCTTTCCTATGGACGCTGGCGTCTTCTCACTGTGAAAATCCCTGTGAGAAGTGCGGAAGCCCTCTAGCGGCTGTCAATGAGACAGCCACTAGAGGCTGGATTAACCCATAGGTAAACATAGCAGTTTCTCTGAAACATGAAAATGTTTACAGAAAAAAGGGTTAATCCTAGCTGGACCTGGCACCCATTAAGCTGAAGTGGTCTGGGTGCCTATAGTGGTCCTTTAATTCCAGGGATGTAACTTGTTCTTTAATTTTATCATTGACTTCTTTTAATTTATTTATCTGAAAATCCGTTTCAACCAATTTATCTTCAAAATTTTGAACTTTTATAATCAATTGGTTAATTTCGTGTTTAATCTCTTGTTTAATTTCTTGTGTGTTAGTAGCTATTTCTTTTTTTATTTCTACCAAATTGTTTTGTAAGCTCATATTGAGTTGCTCTATTATAAGTGATTCTCTCACTCTTTTATCGTCTGGTTCCAAATTATCTGAACCAGTATTAGATATATCCAAATTCTGTCGGGTATTAACCCTTTGTTGGTCCTTCTGTTGTTGGGGAGAGAAATAATTTGTTACACTCTTATCATGTTGCTGTTGTTTATCTTTTTTTAATGTTCCTTTTGATTCTTGAGGTTTTCTATTTGCCATTTTGTTACAGAGTCTTCTCTCTTTCACTTAGTCTTTCACTTAGTCCCCTTTAAATTTAGGTGTTTCCTTCAGTTTTACTTTATTTCCAAATAAAGATTTTTCTCCTCTCCCTTCTTTGCTCTTTACCCAGCACCACACCTCAGTTTTTCTGATTTTCCTTTGCTTTTCCTTTCTCTCCTCTTCTCTCAATCTTACTTTTGTCTCTTTCTTTTTCAGATTGCTGATATTATTATTCAAAATAAATTATAATTTTAAACCAGCCATAAAGATAAAAAGAAATTTAAAACTTATCTGAGGGAGTGTCTTTCCCTTTGCCAGCTCCGGTTTCTTCTTCTTTTTTTTTTTTTTGTAGTAGCCGACCAAACCTTTGTTGTTTTATGTTTGTGGACTCCTCATGTCCGGCTTATTCAAATCCAATCTATCCCATATAGGTGGTTCGCGCAGGTTTTTATAAATGCTGTTCGAGGTGGGAATTGCAGCTGGTACTCTGGAATCTCTCGAACCAGCAATTTATTCCCGCCTTTCAGCCGAGCAAAGAGTCGTGTTGGGAGTCCCCACTTTAATGCGAACAAGCCCATGCATCTGTCATTAGTCGGCGGTCCTACCGGAGCTCTGCCACACTCCACCTCACTCCATCACGTTAGCCCCTCCTCTTCCGCCAGAGCGTTACCACGTCATGACACAAGAAAACACCCGATCACGTTTTTAAATTTAATCTTGATATCAATGGAGTCTCTCTCTTCTTTATGTCTCTTCGAAAATGTAATGATTCCATTGTTATTCACCTAAATGAGTTAATGTAATATTTTAATGGTTATAACATGTAAAAAGGGACATCATGTTGTTTTATAGTGAGTCGTGGTTCAGGTCTGAGGTCCGAGTCAGAAGTCATAGACTAAATCCCCTTTTTACCTAGGGGTATGACCTTAATTTTGTTGGTCCTCCAGAAAACTAACTACAGATCAATCAGACCAAGAAAACACCTTCATCTAGATAGGGTTTCAGCCCCCTGAGCATAAGTATCATCCCTGTGTAGTTTGGGTATCACCTCAGTAGGATCTGGGTATCATGGACATTATTATTAATGTAGGAGGATGGCATATAATAATAATACCATCTGATTGCTTACCATATAATAAATATTTGACTATCACAAATGTTCCACGTAATCCTGAGGTATTCATGTTAAACAACAATACCCTCAAAAGTATAAAAGGCTGTCTAAATCATATAATAAATTTTAAGTGCAGTTTGACCAAGTACCAAAAATCAGGTAGAGCCGTGACTATTGAGTAATTTTTCATTTCTAAGCTGGATTGAGGGTGAAATGTGATATACATATATTTGCTGAACTCTCTTACATATATCTTCTTTTATAGGAGAGCCATGGATCAGGATCCACTATGAGAACTCCCCACTAACGGAGAAGCAGAGGCAATCCCTACAGCAATCTATCTCCATCACAGATCGGCCTCCTTTTATTCCTACACCACGTATCAGGGAAATCATATCCTCTCCCGTCAAGAAAGAAGAGCTTGGGACAACAATGAGGAGAGAAGGAGAGATCAGCTGAATATGTTTGTGAATCCGTATTTTATGGTTTGATAATGTTAAACATATTGTGCGGTCAAATATTATCAAAAAGATGGATGTACAAAAACAATATACTTTATTTTAAAGAAACCAATATTCCATATCTTTATAAATCAATTTATATATACAAAATGCATCCTATGATTTGAACTAAAACAATTAATCTTCTTTAAAGGGACACTCCAGACAACAAAAGATATTTAGCTTGCTGAAAAGCTTTATGTGTGTAAGAGAGTGTGTGCTCTTTTTTCATTTTGCAAAAAAGTGCAGATTTTAGTAGAAATTGAGACTTTACAAATTGACATGGTAACACCCCCTTGGCTTTCAAGCAGACAATAGGTTCAGTTACTTGGCTTTCAAGCAGACAATAGGTTCGGTTACTTCCTGGTTTGATTAGCTCAGTGGAGCTAAACTCAAGAGGCAGCAATTACCCAGAGAACCTGCCTTGCAAATGTAGCCTTGAGCTACATTGGGAAGTCTGTGATTGGACCCCAATTTTTATGTATACCCCAATGAAAAAATGCATAATTAAATGCATGCATGTTTTCATTTGGGATATATCTACTAAACATTAACTTTTATTTATTTTGTGTTTGGGTAGTGGAGTGCCCCTTAAAGTTTCATATATTTTTGTCTCACATATTTATTAACTCCTTCATTTTCTTTTCCTGTGTTACCTTTCTTCTGTGATTTGTATTTTAATGTTAATGTTAACAACATGTTGTATTTTTAATGTTGTATTTAAGCTCATTTTACATATTTGCACATTTGTTTCAATACAGTGTTCTATACATTCGTGCAATTAATAGGATTATCAACCAGAATCATGTATTGTAAGGTTTTATGAGAAAAGTAAAAGCAACTTTAAGGGGTCTCCAGTTATTGGCCACAGTGCACATTTTCCATCCCCTGGACTGGTTTCATAAGGTCCACGGCATAATTGATATTCCTCTTGTTTCTTTTTACAAATTAAAGGACCACTATAGTGCCAGGAAAACAAACTAGGCTGAAGGGGCTAAATCCCCTAGGCTGAAGGGGCTAAATCCCCTTTAGCCACTTACCTTAATCCAGCGTCAGGCTCCCTCGGTGCTGGTGACCTCTCCTCCCCCTTTGACGTCAGCTCCCAAGTGGAGCCGCATGCGCGGCCAGAGCTGCGCACGCATTCAAACCGCCCATAGGAAAGCATTACTCAATGCTTTCCTATGGATAATCTGCATGCTTAATGCGATTTTCACATTGAGCGTCTCAGAAGCGCGTCTAGCGGCTGTCGGGAAGACAGCCACTAGAGGCTGGATTAACCCTGCAATGTAAACATAGCAGTTTCTTTGAAACTGCTATGTTTACAGCTGCAGGGTTTAAGCCTGGTGGACCTGGTGTATAGTGCACTTATCTTGATAGTGTGGAAAACAGAAAATATTGAAAATATTTACCGTAATTTTCTTATCCTGGCTAATATCCATGTTAGTATCACTTATGTGTTAAGCTCTTCCCTCTCAGCTGATAGGACAGGAATATTAAATTTAAGGATATTCTAAAAGAACACATCTCACTATTCACAGCCATCATGTATCCAAGTCAATACAAAAAGGGAGGGATTACTGATGCTGAAAAAAGAAAATAACGGTAAATATTTTCAAAATGTTCTGTTTTCCTGACTAATCCATGCCTGTATCACTTGTGGGACTTTTAAAGTTTACATGAGTGGGAATAAAGAGAACAAAGAATATAGCTGCATATATATTGCAGAATGAAGGACACTTCTGCCAAATAAGGAGATAGAAGAGCTGGATATGTCTGGACGGTAATGTGGGAGAAAAACCAGGCTGCATCCCTAAAAATCTCCTTAGAAGAGGTGTACGCCAAAGATGCCCAAGATGCCAATACAGCCCTGGTAGAATGAACCTTGATACATTTTTGCACAGGTTTTCCTGCCATTTTATCTCTGTGGCGTATAGTGGAGATTGAAGCCTTTAATCATTTGTGATACCCAAAAGTAATAATAGGTAGCATCAGTGGCGTACATACCGGGGTCGCAGGGGTCGCGGCTGCGAACGGGCCCAGCCCACCAGGGGGCCCGGCTGCCCTGCGACTCGGTCCCCCGAGGCTGGCCCTGGTATCACCGGGTTGCCTCGTGCGCCGCGTACTGATGCCGGAGCTGGAATATGACATCATATTCTGGCTCCGGCATCAGTACGCGGTGTGCGAGGGACCTGGACAGAGAGCGCTCAGGGGAGAGTGCTCCCTCGCACGCCCGCCAGCCAGACAGCCCGCCCCAGTGACTGGCCACCCAGCAGCACCACTGGACCCCGGGGAATCCCCTCAGCTCTCCCAAAGGTAAGGAGGCTGGGGGATTAAATAAAAAAATAAAAAAAATAGTGTGTGTGTGTGTGTGTCTGCCTGCTAGTGAGTGTCAGTGAGTGTGTTAGTTTGTGTGTCTGTTATTGAGTGTGTGTTAGTTTGTGTGTCAGTGAGTGTGTGTGTCAGTGAATGTGTTACTGTGTGTGTCTGTTACTAAGTGTGTTTGTGTGTGTCTGTTAGTGAGTATGTTTGATGTCTGTTAGTGAGTGTGTGTTTGTCAGTGAGAGTGTGTTTTTAAAGTGAGTGTGTATGTGTGTCTATCTGTCTGTCAGTGAGTATGTATGTATGTCGCTGAGTGTGTCTCTGTCAGTAAATGTGTGTGTCTGTTAGCTAGTGTGTCTGCGTCTGTTTGTGAAAGTGTGTGGGCTTAAAAAAGCACTTACCTTTCTCCAGTGCCGGACTCCCTTGGCGCTGGGGATCCCTCCGCCCCGATCCGCCTCTCACCCCCAAATGCGCATGAACGGCAAGAGCCGCGTGCGCATTCAAACTGCCCATAGGAAAGCATTACTCAATGCTTTCCTATGGACGTCCAGCCTCTTCACACTGTGATTTTCACAGTGAGAATTGCGGAAGCGCCTCTAGCGGCTATCAGTGAGGCTAGATTAACCCTCAGTGAAACATAGCAGTTTCACTGAAACTGCTATGTTTTCAGCTGCAGGGTTAAAACTAGAGGAACCTGGCACCCAGACCATTTCATTGAGCTGATGTGATCTGGATATCTGTAGTGGTCCTTTAAGTGTGTGTGCATCTGCATGGACTGGCACACATACCGCGGTCGCAGGAGTCGCAGCCCTGCAACCCCTGCGACCAGGTGCCCGCCGCCATTTGTTGCGGCCCTGGCCCGCACAGAGTAAGCGCGGGGGGGCCCACGGATCAATTTTCGCACTGGGGCCCCCATGGGTCGTGTGTACGCCACTGAGTAGCATATTAGTTTGCCTGATGATCTTAGGCCGCTCCAGAAAAAATTATGCTTTTAGGAAAGCATTGGGAGGCTATTGTGGTTGCGCGGCAAAACAGCACACTGCACCAATCTACATCTCTTCATAGAGATGCAGTAAATCAATGCATCTCTATAAGTAATGTTCAGCATCTCCATGCAGAGATTGGAGATGCTGGATGTGCACTGAACCAGGAAGCGCCTCTAGTGGCTGTCTGAGTGACTGCTCCTAGAGATATTTGGGCCGTATCTGAATTCTTTCCTAGGGAGAGAGGCTAAACTCCCTAGGGGGGCCATATTGAAAAACTAATAGTAGTAAACTTTAAAATAAAAATTGTGCTGCCTAACAGCTGGAGAACAAAAAATGATTAATAGGGAAATGTTTCCTTTTATAATATACTTAATTTGAATATTCCTGTCCTATCAGCTGAGACGGAGGAGCTTAACCTATAAGTAATGCTGAGGAAAAAACGATAAAGGGTGCGCCTTAAAAACAAGTGAAAGTAATACTTATATGGATATACAAAAGTCCAAGCGGTTCTGCAATAGTCCAAAATTGGAGTGATCCACGTAGGCAGGAGAAGGTCCTTGTGGGACAGCGAGCAAAGTATATGGTCACAGATGAAGACTCGTAGTCCAGAGGTATATATATGGGAGAAGCAGAAGACAAAAGACTCCAATGGTACACAGACCCTCCCTCCCAGAACCTCCCACCTCCTGGACAGCTCACTAAGAATGCAGCTTCACAATGAATGTAAAATGGATGCTGTCCAGGAGGTGGGAGGGTCTGGGAGGGAGGGTCTGCTGCTGATTGGCTGGAATGTGTCTGCTGACTGTGAGGTACAGGGTCAAAGTTTACTCAATGATGATATAGGGGCGGACCGAACAGCGCATATGTTCGCCGCCCGCAGCGAACCGTTCGGCGAACTGTTCGGGACATCACTATTCCTCAGTTGCTGTAGTCCAGTATCTCTTGCTGCCTTTTAAATCTTTAAATGCCCGCCGCTTTCCCGGTATTTTCAATACTAATAAGGGGGGGACCTAATATCCTCCCCCTGGCCCCCACCCCTGAGCGGTGGGTGGGGGCCCTAAATACTAATAAGGGGGGGACCTAATATCCTCCCTCCTGGCCCCCACCCCTGAACGGTGGGTGGGGCCCTAAATTAGAATAGGGGGGGAACTAATGTCCTCCCCCCTTGCCCCCATCCCTGAGCGGTGGGTGGAGGCCCTAAATGATTGCATGCATGCCTAATGTCCTCCCCCTGGCCCCCACCCCTGAGCGGTGGGTGGGGGCCCTAAATACTAATAAGGGGGCGGGACCTAATGTCCTCCCCCCTCGCCCCCACCCCTGAGCGGTGGGTGGGGGCCCTAAATACCAATAAGGGGGGGACCTATTGTCCTCCCCCCTGGCCCCTAAAGCCCTAGTCACCCCCCTCCCCAAAAAAACTAACCCCTACCTAACCACCTCACCCTAAAAATAATGAGGGGGGACCATTAACTAAGTACCTGTAAAAAAATTAAAATAAAACTCACCATTTGATGTTTTTGTTCTTCTAAAATCTTATATTTTCAGCCCCAAAAAAGGCCAAATAAAAATCCATAATAACCGACGCACTTAAAAAAAAAAAAAAAACTAGCGCAAAAAAAAATAATCCTTCACCCATGGATGGCTCCACGCAGACTGAGCTCTGCAAGGCGGGGGAAGGCTTAAAAAGGCTCAGAGCCACAGGCTGCTCACTGTTTAATAGACATGCCCCTACTCGCAGTATAGCGAGTAGGGGCAAAATTTACTAATTCTAAGTAATTTTTACTTAGTATTTGTAAATTTGGCTGAAAGACTAATTTAGGTCTTTCAGCCTTTTGGTATAAAACTCTCTAATACAGTGGGAATCAGGGAGTTATCTACTAAGTGGCTGCAAGAGAAGTCCTGAAGTGCCAAAATTCCGAAATGCCAAAGTTCCGAAATTCCGAAGTGCCGAAGTTGCCGAAGTTCCGAAGTGTCGAAGTTTCGGAATGCCAAACCGAACCAAAAATTTCCCCCATGCACATGCCTACTGTAAACCAACAACAACATCTTTCAGTTTTCAAAACAAGACAACATATTTTTTTGAGTTTTATTAGATTAAATGTATTTTTATAACAACAAGATATGTTTGTAATACAAAAACAAAACCAGGAGCAATCTGCTCAACACATCAGATAACTTAGGGTAAGAAGTAATAAGGAACTAAGAGAAAATGTCATCAACAGTCAATGGAGATTGTCTATATAAGTGGATTCTATAATTCATTTTTCAGGAGTTATTATTATGCCCAAATCTAAACCATAAAACACTGACAAATTAGTCTGGCATAATACTTTCTGGCCCATTGGAGGTTTTGACCTCAAAATGATCCTAAACATTAACCCTTTCAGCCTGGTCTCTAAGTACTTACTCACACTAAGACCTAATTTAAAGGCCTCCTGTAATTCCCTAATCTTCCACTCTGTTACCATATTACATATCTCACCTAACTTTAACAGCTAACTCTGTTTCCAAAATGCTCACCCTGCTGCATAACCCTTCACAGTATTTCTTAACTATCTGCTAATTACACACCTGGAGATGATTGCTGAGACTAGTTTGTATGAGGCGAATTAGGCTGCTGTCACAAAGTTCACAATCAAGTTGACCATTACCAAATTGACAACCACCACACTGGATTAAACCAGGAATGGCCACTCAGTGATGAAGTTATCTTCTTCATTATTTTTGCTTTTACAGGGGCTGTTAAAATAAATTTAGAGGTTGATACAGTTTCTATATACCTACATTATAAATCTGATTGATACGTGGTAGAACGTGGCGATGTTTTCTCGTGTAATTGCAAATTTTGACTTTAAGGGGTTAATTGGCAAATGAATTTAAACTTTAGCCATTATGATTGAATGTGTATAAATCTGTGGAAAGAAAGGTTAATTGTTACCTCCCTTTAGATTGCGTCTGTAATTGATCAGTCTGTACATTTTATAAATTTTGTATTCCTAAACCATTCCATCCGTAATTTCTGTATAGTATGAAAGAACTTGCCCAATATACAGTATTTATAAAGAAAATGTAAATCACAGAGCTATGCATTGACCAACATGGCTCTATCATTGTTAATTTGTTATGCCTCCCTGTAATATCATTTTGCCGTTTTAATGAAATAAATAGTTTTGTTACAAAGTCCCATGTTTTTCTGTACTTTCATCTTTGCTTTGTGATAATAGCTCAGTGGTAAAGTTTCCAGTGGCTTGTTTGTTATTCAACCCCAGTTGACGCATATCTACACCATGAGTTGACCATGTCCTGCTGTGTATTTCTCTTCAGTCTTGCCATCTCATGTACGGATTCCTAAAGGTATTATTTCACACTGTTATTATTGTTCCCCATTCTGCTTGCTTGCGTTGTGGATCTGTTGCTTGCGTTGTGCCCGAGCAGTCACCCCATACATTCTTATCTCATTGACAATCGTACGCAGCTGTGATAGGACATTATCAGGTAGCCTAGGACTGTCCGGGGGTTGCTGTAATAAAAATACACATTATACATGCTACACTTGAACCTGCATTACATAAAGCATCAAAGAAGAATTATAAGGACGAAATAATTGCATAGGCTGAAAAGAGACTTGCAACCATCAAAGTCAGCCTTTCTCACATCTGTTTTTGCGGTTGATCCAAAAGAAGCCAAAACATTAGTTTTGAAACACTTTCCAATTTTGCAATAAATTACGAAAAAAAATCCTTCTTGAAATGAAAATGGCAGTCAGATCAAATTAAAAATTATATCCCTGAATATTATATTTTTGCAAGTATTAAAATAGAAAAAATGTGGTATCAATTAATTCTAATTGGTGAAATTCTATCCAAACTGACATAAAGTCTTCTATACACAAGTATAGTATTAACCAAAATCAAGGAGTAAGGGTTTCCCAGCTACTCTGATGATAGAACTTCATCTACATTGAGGAGCAAACTTTCTACAGAGGGCAATCCTTCCATTTCATACTGAGCAGTGAGCTTAAACTCATACTGTGGAGAGTACGATCATCCACATTGATCACAGAACATTCATCCACGCTAAATGATACTTTCAGCAACCTGGGGCAAGGGCGTGAAAACAAGAACCACTCTCTCAAAGGAATTTCCAACTACACAAATGATACAGTATCCGTCTACCAGGCATAGGCAACCTTGTTTTGGACTACACCTCCCATGATGCTTTGCCAGCATTAAGGTTGTACGAGCATTGTGGGAGCTGTAGTCCACTACATCTGGAGTGCTGAAGGTTGCCTACCCTGGTCTAGACACTAGTAGTACTTGAGTCATGTTTTCAATCATGCACATATTTTCATTTTCTTAAAGCTTAGAAGGCTTTAAGGAGCACTGCCTATACTGATATCACACCCAAACAGTCTTTCAGCCTGAAAAGGTGACAATATAACTGACATGTCTAAATGATGGTTATAAACATTACATTGGAGAAAAAATGTATCCCAGACCTACCTGAGTCAGTGCTCTGATCAATCTCAATAGCACTAGGTCTTCCAATGTCGTTGGTAAAGATGGCAATTTACTGACACACTGAAGGAGACAGCATAAGGTCTCACCCTGACTCTGCAAGATACATAATAATAATAATAATGACAGAAGGACAGTGCGACATTTTAAAAGGAAACAAGTGGTAAAAATCACTGAACTGGGAAGAATTAAGCACTGAAAAAGAAAATTTAAGGCCAAAAACTGAGCTGTAAAAGTAACATGGAACTCAGGAAACGCAAAATGCATTCAGCTCTGAATGTGTTCATGTTCAAGGTTGCGATGTAACACATTTTATAGAATATTATAGTATGAGTTGTTTCTGATTAACATATAATGAGTACAATGAGATTATGATTCTATAGCTACTATTTTAGGTTATATCTCAGAGTGACACGTCCCTTTATGAAACTTCTCAATCATTAAAGGGTTTTGGAGATTTTTATAACATTGCAGAAGTATTGATAAGAGGAAGTGACACACGGAAACATTTTTCTTTTTTTTATTCACAGTATTTGCAGTTACAGACAACATTTAAAGGGACACTATAGTCACCAGAATAACTACAGCTTAATGTTGTTGTTCTAGTGAGTATAGTCAGTCTATGCAGGCTTTTTGAGGTAAACAATGTATTTACAGAGAAAAGGCAGTGTTTACATTACAATCTAGGGACACCTCCAGTGGCCAATTAGATGCTGATTAGAGGTGTTTCCTGGGGCAGTAATGCACACCTCTGCATGGAGATAATTATCTTTCTTCATAGAGATGCATTGGTTCAATGCATCTCTCTGAGGAGATGCTGATTGGCCAGGGCTGTCTTTAGCAGAATTTGACAATCTCAGCTAATCCAATGCTTTCCTATTGGCAAGGATTTTGATTAGCTGACATCATCACTTCTGATGATGTCAGCCAAGGAGGCAGATCAGATGCAGAGCCAGCAACAGCAGACTGGAATAAAGGTAAGATTTTACTATAGTTAGGGGAGAGCAGGGAGGGCTATATTGTGATTTTAGCACTTTAGGGCCAGGAATACATGTTTGTGTTCCTGACCCTATAGTGTTCCTTTAAGTTCCAAGAAATAATAAAGAAAAATTACTAGTGAGATTTCAAGCTTTTTGTTCTGGTGAATGCCTGCTCAGGATTATAATCTTTTCAAGACACTTCTGAAGTTTGCTGTTTCTTCATTGCTATAATGAAGAGCCACCAGTTTGTATATTAATACTTCTTAGTTTTCCCTGTTTAATTTGCTCCCTGAAAATAAAATACCATTGAGGACTCCATTGTTTGGTGTAGATTCTCACATGTTTTCTATATAAGTATTTTTGTACATATGGAGATGTCTGTCTTACTACTGTTTAAAAGAAAAAAAAGTTAAGATATATAATGTAGAGCCTGAACATATACTGACAATACTGTATTTAAAATAAGGTGACAACAGATGTAGAAATTCAAGAAAGTGGATTTTATTCAGATTTTTTTTTAGATAACGTGTGGTCTCACCCTGCTAAGTCTAGTCAGATTTTCTCTCCAGTCTCCATCACAAAATAGATTTACATCTTCCTGGCATAGCACAGGTTCCTGGGAGGAGGAAAAAGAATGAAAAGTAATATATGTACATTCATGGCATTGATTTTATATTTTTGGATAAGCTTTGCAAATGATTTCATACTGTAAAAAAATATTATTTTATACATTGATATATACATTTTTATATATAGAAACATAGACTGTGACGGCAGATAAGAACCATACGGCCTATCTAGTCTGCATAATTCTCTAAATACTTTCATTAGTCCCTGGCCTTATCTTATAGTTAGGATAGCCTTATGCCTATCCCACACATGCTTAAACTCCTTTACTGTGTTAACCTCTACCACTTCAGCTGGAAGGCTATTCCATGCATCCACTACCCTCTCAGTAAAGTAATACTTCCTGATATTATTTTTAAACCTTTGCCCCTCTAATTTAAGACTATGTCCTCTTGTTGTGGTAGTTTATCTTCTTTTAAATATAGTCTCCTTCTTTACTGTGTTGATTCCCTTTATGTATTTAAATGTTTCTATCATATCCCCCCATCTCGTCTTTCCTCCAAGCTATACATGTTAATATCCTTTAATCTTTCCTGGTAAGTTTTATCCTGCAATCCATGAACCAGTTTAGTAGCCCTTCTCTGAACTCTCTCTTAAGTATCCTTCTGGAGACACGGTCTCCAGTACTGTGTACAATACTCCAAGTGAGGTCTCACCAGTGTTCTGTACAATGGCATGAGCACTTCCTTCTTTCTACTGCTAATACCTCTCCCTAAACAACCAAGCATTCTGCTGGCATTTCCTGCTGCTCTATTACATTGTCTGCCTACCTTTAAGTCATCAGAAATAATCACCCCTAAATCCCATTCCTCAGATGTTGAGGTTAGGACTCTATCAAATATTCTATACTCTGCCCTTGGGTTTTTACATCCAAGATGCATTATCTTGCACTTATCCACATTAAATGCCAGTTGCCACAATTCTGACCATTTATCTAGTTTACCTAAATCATTTGCCATTTGGCTTATCTCTCCTGGAACATCAACCCTGTTACATATATTAGTATCATCAGCAAAAAGACATACCTTACCATCAAGACCTTCTGCAATATCACTAATAAACATATTAAAGAGAATGGGTCCAAGTACAGATCCCTGAGGTACCCACTGGTGACAAGCCCATGCTTTGAATATACTCCATTGACTACAACCCTCTGTTGCCTGTCATTCAGTCACTGCCTTACCCATTCAACAATATTGGAATCCAAACTTAAAGATTGCAGTTTATTGATAAGCCTTCTATGTGCAACAGTGACAAAAGCCTTACTGAAATCTAGGTAAGCAATGTCTACTGCACCACCCTGATCTATTATTTTAGTAACCCAATCAAAAAAATCAATAAGTTTAGGTTGGCATGATCTCCCTGAAGTAAACCCATGTTGTCTCTGATCTTGAAATCCATGTAATTTTAGATGTTCAAAAATCCTATCCTTTAACATGGTTTCCATTACTTTCCCCACTAATGAAATATGTTTTGATTTTTTTTAATATATTGAAAACTAATTTTAAAAGCTGATCTAAAAATATGAAATAATTTGAAATGCTTAACCAAAAATGTTAAATCGAGAACTATGTTTGCAAATCATTGAATCCAACCATCATCATTTGGATGTCACTAGAAACAAAATCCATATTCCTGATGTAAAGATACATGACTATAGCCAGAAACTGATTTTGGCTGACATCTTGTTTCTGCAAAAATGCCTTAGTAAATCATCATTTCCATTGAAAATGATTGCATGCATGCCAAATATATTATATGAGCAAGGCTCAGCATCACAGTTCTATGGAAGATCTGAAATAGCAAACCAACTTTCAGTTGCTGTAGCCAATCCCAGAGCAGAGTGCAGATGATTTTTGGGTTGTTTTCTGTGTATATTGATCCCCATGATTCCTGTTCATTCAACAGCCTCTACAGAAAATGAAAAAATGTAATGAAAATGACAGGAAACTACGGCATGTGTCTCATAGCTTGCTTTCTTGATAGCAGGAATCAAAGCAACAATTTGTCTTTAAAGGGTATTATACCATTCATAACTGATTTTTGTATTACATTTTCCAAAGCTGATTTCCTTTGTTAAACCCACAATACTGCTGAAGCTATCTGTGTCAAAAGTGTTGAATAATTGCACCAAAGCCTATTATTTTCACAGGCTTTCCAAATCTCATTCACTTGCATTATAAAATAAAATCCTTTAACATCTGATCAAATGAATAACATCGGAATTTAATTTATTGTTTCCAAAAAAGTCAACCATACTTTTCATCTCATCTCCACATAGACACATTGTGTGTGAATGTAACAAAGTCTCTTACAGATATGTATGTAGTGTGTAAATGTAACTATGAGTGCAGAGATTACCCATTGTGGAGCACATGCTGCCAATAAGGGCCCAGGCTCAGGCAGGGGCCCATTGGTGCTGGAGCTCTGGATTTGAAAGTGAGGGGCTCTACTTGAGCTGGCAAAGTGATCAATAGACTTATCTGCTCAGCTGTGTGCCAAACTACCAGCAATGCAGCCCCCTGGAACCCACAAGTTTTGGGAACCCATCAGGCATTTCTAATGAGCTGTAGCCCTTTATCTGAGCACCGGTGTTCAATCCAAAAAAATCCTTATCTGTAATTCCCTACCCCCACCATATTGGGTGACGCAACCGCTCCGGAAGTGAGGCTGAATCAGCTGTAGGTTGGCTTATCTGTGTGCCCATAGACATAGAATACCTAGACGCTGCATTGCGTGCTGAGGAATGCGGGTGCCATCTTGGACCGGTCGCCACTCTACTGAAGCTATTGAAGAACACTTGGAAAGTCCATCTCACAAAAGGTAAGGGAAGGACTTGGGGCACTTATAGTCCTTAATACCCCTACCCCTAGTCCTTAATACCCCTACCCCTATTCATTAATACCCCTACTCCTTAATACCCCTACAGTGTTAATACCCCTACCCCAGCCTACCCCAGCACACATAGTCCTTAATACCCCTACCCCTACTCCTACACACACAGTGTTAATACACATAGTGTGCTGGGGTAGGGGTATTAACACTGTGTGTGCTGGGGTAGGGGTATTAACACTGTAGGGGTATCAACACTGTAGGGGTATCAACACTGTAGAGGTTTGAACCCTAACATTAACCCTAAATGTCCCATGTCCTAAGCTTAGTGAATGCACTAACTATAATGAAAGTGTAAAACTAGTTTTACTTACCTTCCAGGACCTTGCTGTGGAGGAGTAGCAGGAGTGCTAGCACGCATGTGCACTCACAGGATCCAGCTGATTCCCCTCACCGGAAGTGACGAGGGGATTTTCACTGGTAGGGAAATTTGATAGAACACCGGCACCCCACCAGGAGAGGGTATGGCATTCTTACGGGGCACCTCTGGTGCTGGAACGTTGCGAGTACGCATGTGCCTGCTGGTGGGTATGTTAATATGATGTTAAACTGCTCATGCACAGTATTGGGGTAGGGTTTGCACACGCTGTCAGTACGCATGCGCCTAAATCAACTGTGCAGGACACATGCACCGTATAGGGTAGGGTATTTTGACACTGCTATTGCACATGCGCTGGACGACCCCCCAAACGCGCATGCGCACTCGTAACATTTAAGCACTAGAGCATGTGCCCTGTAAGATCCGATACCCCTCCGGTTTTAATGTTGTAGCTAATCTGTGTATATTTCATAAGTAAGCGGCACAAGCATAGAGGTATAAATTTAAGAACTGTGGTATTTAGGAGGATGGCAACAATAATTTTACAGGTGGCAAGTATTAGGAGAGAAATACAGTAAAGGCTGAGAGACCTAAAATATCCACCAGCCAGCATACTGCAAAGTAGCACTAGTGGGAAAGGCACAAAGGAGAAGAACCAATATTGATAGTGCTTCCCAAGGTTAAGGCCAAGATGTCCCAAATATAAATCAATTCCTGAATGAATTTTTAACTAAACTTAGCAATAATATTCCATTGGAAGCATGTATTTTCCAGAGTTGAGAAAAACTGCCATTTGCTTTATTTAAATGTTCTTTATGACCTACCATGGCTATTTAGAGTGTTCCAAAATTTCTTCAAATACTAATGCAGATGTCTAGTAAGAATTTCGAAAGCTATTGATGATGTCAAGAACTAAAAAACATTTTGGGGCATTTTCTTATTCTCTGAAAAGGCTGTGTTTACATGAAAATGCTTGCAGGGACAGACTGTAGAGACCAGAACAACTACATTAACCCCTTAAGGACGGAGCCAAATGTACACGTTGGGAACGAAACAAAATGTAAACAAAACCTGGCATTTGCGCTACATGTCTGTCCAACCGTAATACACCTCTTTCATAGTAAATGCACCCACCCTTATTATATATCATTTTATTCAGGGGAAACAGGGCTTTCATTTAATATCAAATATTTAGCTATGAAACATAATTTAATATGAAAAAAATGGGAGAAAATAAGATTTTTTTTGATTTTTTTAGTTCTACATTACATTTTAACGGTCAGTGTCATAATACTGTTTGCTTTTACTGCAATAAAATACACATATTTGTATTCAGCAAAGTCTCACGTGTAAAACAGTACCCCCTATGTACAGGTTTTATGGCGTTTTGGGAAGTTACAGGGTCAAATATAGCACATTACATTTGAAATTGAAATTCGCCAGATTGGTTACGTTGCCTTTGGGACTGTATAGTAGCCCAGGAATGAAATTTACACCCATAATGGCATACCATTTGCAATAGTAGACAACCCAAGGTATTGCAAATGGGGTATGTCCAGTCTTTTTTAGTAGCCATTTGGTCACAAACACTGGCCAAAGTTAGCGTTAGTATCTGTTTGTGTGAAAAATGCAAAAAAACGCCAATTTTGGCCAGTGTTTGTGACTAAGTGGCTACTAAAAAAGACTGGACATACCCTGTTTGCAATACCTTGGGTTGTCTACTATTGCAAATGGTATGCCATCATAGGGGTAATTTTCATTCTTGGGCTACCATAGGGTCTCAAAGGCAACGTAACCAATCTGGCGAATTTTAATGTGAAAAAATGAAACACAAGCCTTATATTTGACGCTGTAACTTTTGAAAACACCATAAAACCTGTACATGAGGGGTACTGTTGTACTCGGGAGACTTCGCTGAACACAATTATTTGTGTTTCAAAACAGTAAAAAGTATTGCAGCAATAATATCATCCGTGTAAGTGCTGTTTGTGCGTGAAAAATGCAAAAAACTTCACTTTTACTGGCGATATCATTGTTGTAATACATTTTACTGTTTTGAAACACTAATATTTGTGTTCAGCGAAGTCTCCCGAGTAAAACAGTACCCCCATTTACAGGTTTTATGGTGTCTTGGAAAGTTATAGGGTTAAATATAGTGCTAGCAAATTAAATTCCCTATACTTTCGGCATGGGTTGTCAGGCAGGTCCCGCTAATTGTAATTAATTAGGATACCTAATTATGTAAAAATATTACATAAATATATGTGTAGAATTAATATATGTATATATATACATATGTGTATATATACATATATATATATAATTTTTTAAAATATTTTTATTTATATATAGGTGTATATATTTAGTGATATATATGTATATATTTATGTATATAGATATATATATTATTTCGTTCTACGTGTATTTTGATATAAATATATATATATTAATATCACAATACAGTTAGAACGAAATAACAAACATCTATATATTTTTTTATTATTTATTTTTAATTATTTTTTTAATTTTATTTTTTTTACGTATTTACATTTTTTTATATTATATATAAATATATATATATAACAATATATATATATATATATATTTAATCAGTATTAGTCTACGTGTAATTTGATAGTAATATATATATAAATAATTATATATATTAATATTTAAATACACTTCGTGTATGTGTAAATGTGTGTGTGTGTGTGTGTGTGTGTGTGTGTATATATATATATATATACTTAGATCATATATATATATAATATATATGATCTAAGTATATTTTATATTTAACTGTAATTTTTTTTAACTAATATTTTATTTTTATTACAGGACAGGGGGCAGAGACAGTGTCAGCCAGTGATTTTACATCACTGGCTGACACACAGGATCAGTGATCACAGTGACTGCCTGTCACTGTGATCACCTCCTGCAGATTGGGTAATTGGCCACAGGGGGGAGTGCCTGGGTGGTACAAGCACTCCCCCCTTCCAATCTGCAGGGGGATCTGTGTGCCAGTTACATGTGTCAGCCAATAGGCTGACACATGTAACACTGATCGCAGTGACAGGCTGTCACTGCGATCAGAGCGCTCTGAGATCGCAGTGACAGCCTGTCACTGTGATCTCAGAAGGTGCAGATCGCGGTCACTGACCCCAGGGGGACTGCCTGGGGGGCCAGGTAAGTCCCCCGACCGCGATCTGCACGGGGTAGCCGCTGGCCACGTGTGTCAGCCGATTTGAAATCGGCTGACACACGTTAAAAAACTGATCGCAGTGACAGCCTGTCACTGCGATCAGTGACTGCAGATCGCGGTCACCGGCCACAGGGGGGGTTGCCTGGGGGGCCGGGCATCCCCCCCGACCGCGATCTGCAGCGGGCGACTAGCGCCGGCCACATGGGCGGCCATTAAAGTGAGGGCGTACTATTACGCCCGCCGGCGTTTAGAGCCGGCTCCTGCAGGGCGTAATAGTACGCCCTCCGTCCTGAAGGGGTTAAGCTGCAGTTGTTCTGGTGACTATAGTGTCCCTTTAAATTTAAATAGGGAATAATTTGTCTTATTTTTTTTTAAATCATTAATTAAGAAAACACTTAATAAGCCATCATCATTTATTTCAATAGATTACATGTGTACAAATCTGCTTCTTTCACCTATAAGACAATCAAAGTTAAAGTTATATAGAGTTCCATAAACAGTGTCTACCATTTTCGAGGGGATTTGACCCAAGGGCACATATTTATTACTTTTCGACTTGAGTATGTCTGAGTTCATACCTGTGTCTTGATATTTAACTCTCCCCCTTTTGATTATGATATTGAATTTGGATTTGTTTGAGAAACGTGAAAACTATAAGATAAGTGTTAATTTATATTCTTAAAATACACTATTTTGTGGCAGAGGTGATGACATATCCATAGGAAATAACAGAAACTAAATATAATAAACATATCAATCTCTCTGTAATCAATTATAAGTAGCCACATCCCATTGGTTTTCTGACCTGCATACTTTGAACTCCTTCCTTGGTATCAGGGTCTGGATCCTCCAAACCTGCCAGTGCTTCTGCAATGCACAACACATGTGGGGAGGGCATTATGGCCCCTCTGTTCTCCTGCCAAATGTTAGAAAAAAAAAATCACCGGCAGTTCAAAGTAGTAAGCAGTCACAGTTACCATAAACAGTAATGTGCATAGATGGGATCTAGTAGTTAAGAAAGCATAATGTCATATGTCACGTGTTGTGTATAGGCTTGGCAGCAAAATTATGGTGCCGAGTTCCAACCATCTTTCCATTTTTAGTTTTCATACCTAAAAAAATCATTTGGTTGAGCTTTATCTAAAAAACAAAAAACAGAAAAACAACAAAAAACAATGGAAGCACACACACACACATACACACACACAGTTTTTACAACGTATCTCATCCAACTGATTTGCTCTGGAGCTTGGACTGTTCATTTAATACTAAACATTTAATGTTCTGACTTTCATTCTTTGGCTATTGAGCTTACATTTGTGACATTGGTGTTTGAGTTCCTTTGTTTGTCTTCTGGCAATCTATCCTCTGGTATCAAAGGAGTCTTTGGAGCCAGTCCAAGCTGACAAATCCCATTACTTACAATGTCCACCTGAAAGAAAATGTTATGAAAGGTTTATCTAACACTGATTATATGGGGTTAATCAACTTTGCAACAATGTCTACAATAGCTATAACAGATAGCAGCTTGAAATAACACTTGGAAATTAAAACGGAAAATGATAACATAACATATCTATAGAACTTGACACAACACCATTTACAAATGAAGGACTTCAATGTGTAATGTGCCACTATGAGGCCAGCAGTGGCGGAACTAATGAAGAGAGGGCCCTGGCGCAAGAACGTTTTTTGGGCCTCTCTCTAGTGCAAGAGTGGCCAAAAGGTAGATCCCTATCTGTCGTACAACTCCAACAATAATTATGCAAGCTGGGGATCTACCATTTTCCCATTCTTGCAGGGTAATATTTGTGTGCAGTGTTTGTGGGTTTTAATATAAACATGCTTTTGTATAGAATATATGTGTGTATAGAGGGGTGTATTTGTATGTATAATTGCTATTGTAATGCAGTGGTGCGCTGGTGTGTAGTGTTTGCGTTTGAATACAGGGATCAGTGGCGGCTCTAGACTTGGCGAGGCCTTAGTCGAAACTCATACACGAGGCCCCAACTAACACCATTATTGAAAAAAAAAAATGGCAGTTGACTTGTGTGTGTATAAGAAGCTGTAGATATATTGAATGGGGAGCTTGCAGCACTAGATATAGGGAGCTAGTCTCTCTCTGTATACATCGTTGCATTGTCTATCTGAGTGTGCCTGAGAGTGTGTGTCAGTATGTATGTTTCTTTGAGCATGTGTATGTTTGTGTACTGCCTGTGGCCTTTGGCACTGAGTGCGCAGAGTGGTGCTCGTGTGTGCGGAGAGTGGTGCCTGTGTGTTTGGAGGGAGTTACAGTGTGCTTGGAGAGGGTGACAATATGTATGGAGGGGGGTGACAATGTGTGCGGAGAGTGGTGTCAGTGTGTGCGGAGAATGGTGACAGAGTGAGAGTGGGAGGGTAAAAGAGTGAGAGTGGGAGGGTGACAGAGTGAAAGGGGGGGACAGAGTAAAGGGGGTGACCTAGTGTGAGAGGGGATGACCTAGTTTGAGAGGGAGGGTGACATAGTGTAGGGGGGTGGCAGAGTGAGAGGGAGAATGACTTTGTGTAAGTGGTTGACAGAGTGAGAGGGGGTGGCCTAATGTTAGAGGGAGGATGACTTAGTGTGAGGGGGGTGACAGAGTAAGAGGGGGTGCCAGAGTAAGGGGTTACAGAGTGAGAGGGGTGATTACAGAGTGAGAGGGTGACATAGTGTGAGGGGTGACATAGTGTGAGGGGTGACAGGGTGAGGTGACAGAGTAAGGAGGTGACAGAGTAGAGGCGTGACAGGGTGAGGGTGACAGGGTGAGAGGGGATGTCAGTGTTAGTGGGGTGACAGGATGTGAAGGGGGTGACAGTGTTAGGGGTGGACAGGATTTTCAGGGGTGACAGTGTTAGGGGGGTGACAGGATGTGACGGGGGTGACAGTGTTAGGGGGGTGACAGGGTGAGAGGGGGTGACAGGATGTGAAGGGGTGACAGTGTTAGGGGGTGACAGGATGTGAAGGGGTGACAGTGTTAGGGGGTGACAGGGTGAGAGGGGTGTGACAGGATGTGAAGGGGTGACAGTGTTAGGGGGTGACAGTGTTATGGGGGTTACAGTGTTAGGGGGGTGACCTAGTGTAAGTGGGGTGACAGGGTAAGGGGGGGGTGTAATGTACCTTTTTTTTCTTTTTTTGGAGATGCCCTTCCCTGGTGGTCCAGTGGGCTCCCAGTGTCCCTGGTGGTCCGGTGGATTTTACGGTCTGCAGCTCAGCCGGATGCAAAGCTGCAGACCACATGGGGAATGTCTCGTAATCTTCAGTCAGAGCGTTGCCGTGGTAATCTGCGGCAACGCTCTGATTGGCTGGAGATTGCGAGACACTTCAGGCTGCAGCTCTCACCCAGTGGAGTTTCAGACTGAAGGCTGGCTCTCTCCCTGGGCAGACTGACAGGAGGGGCCTCACACCCGGCGGCATAAAGGGCAAGCCGCAGGGTCCCCTCCTGTGTCGGGTCCACGGTCATTGACCGAGAACCCGACATGTCAGTGTGCCCTCAGGTGATTTAGACGGCCGCAAGGCCCCTGACAGTGTGAGGCCTTAGGCTGCCGCCTAAATCGCCAAATAGAAAGTTGCCTCTGACAGGGATGTTTGTTTGTAGTGGAGGCTTTTAATTGTGCATGTACATTTGTGTGTAGTATTGGTGTTTGAGTGAAGGGATATTTTTGTATATAATTTTGGAGTTTGTATTTAGGGGTATATTTGTATGTAATATTTCTGTTAGATTGCAGGAGTGTGTTTTCATGTTGTGTTGGTGAGTGATTGCTTAGATGCATGCACATACACATATACTTGACCATATACATACATACTTACACAAATATACATATGCATTAGTACACAGATACACACATATAAACACACTGACATATACACAAAAATTCAAATAAACACTGGCACATGCACACACCTTGATGCATGCACACACTCTGACTCACAAATACATACTGATATATACACACACATGCACACTGACACTCGTACACATATACGCATACTCAGATGCACACACACAGACAGTAATGAAAACGTGCAATATCAATTTTTTTATGGTGGGCATGTAAAGGTAACTTTAATTAGGGGTAAATTGAAAAGATAATTGTGATATTCTTTATAGAATTTCAATGTAAAAAAATATATATAAATTGAAACACTTTTCTATGAAGGATTTTATGACTTAAAGCTTACAATTAGTTTTTCGATTTATTATAAATGACTATTTAATGAAAAAAGATTTATCTACAATTTTACTTATTGTCCCTGTGACGAAGTGCCCTTCGCCACTTGTGCCTGGAGAGGACTGCTTGCCCGCCTCTTGCCCTGTGACTATGGACCCTGGGAGATTTTGCCCGTTCAATTCAGTATGATAGGAGTTATGTATTTTTGTATCCTTTGTGTTTTACTGGGAACATGTGCTCAATGGAGTCTGCCTCTATCCCTGGATAATTGGATTACTTTCCCCATTGTCTCCAGGCTAGAGGGCTCTGTAAAACCGGTTTGGGACAGATAGTCATGCTGCCAGCCAGGCCCCAAAAAATACTTTACTAACTTCTGAACCCCTAGTCTGATTCATGCCATTCTTGGATATGTTGTTTCCCTGAATGGATTGATTGTGAATATATAATTTTTATGTGAATGTGATCTATATTTTATAAGTTATGAATGCTGTAAAAACTTTATTATTTCTGGCCAGCAGATAATTGAGCTTTGTGTATTGTAGAAACTCAATTATCTAGCCTGGCCCAGAGGAGGAGTTTTGTGTTGCATAAATTGTGAGTTCTGTGTGCCAGTAAATCAGTCTTGTTCCAGCATTAAGCCTTGGCTCATGTTTGGGGGATTGGAGAAATACACTCTGGGGATTGCTATAATCACTATACTCCCCAGGGTATGATCACTAAGTTCTGCTAAGAGCTTGTTCCTGTTCCTGCTCTCTGGGGAAAGAGAGGTTCACCCACTGGAAGCTGGATCCTGGCCTTGGGTCCAGGGTGGGTGGAGACAGCAGAGACCCCTGCGCAGTTGCATTGCTGGAAGTGGGGTCTGCAGTGCTGATGGTGTCGGTTGGAGTCCTCAGCGAGCACTAGGAGCATCGATTGGCGGAGGTACTCAGTCGGAGTGCCAGCGGTCCGTCACAGTCCCCCCCACCCTTTTTTTTTTTTTTTTTTTAACAAGGAACCTAACCTCTTCTCTCTGAATCACGTTTATACATGGGCTAAATTACATTTTTAATTACAATCTTCCTGTCACAGGCACACTATGACACACACATATATACACACACACAGATATACACCCTGACACTCAGATACACACACTGATACATACACACACTGATACATACACACACCTGGACACAGATACACACACACGCACAATCAAACATTCATAAAAGTAAATAAACAAGGATAAACAATTCTCAACATATAACACTGTCAAACAACGTCCAGTCATGACATTTATATATGAAGAGTGTGACAGGAAAAGACACCCCCAAGATCCCTTGGTTTAACGTTATTGGCTGAAAAAAGTTAATAATCATAAACTTTTTTTAAATTTAATTTCAACTGAATTTGATGGCAACTGAAAATTCAAGCAGCCGAACTTGATGAACTGGTCGTCTATTAAAAATAAAATCGCACAAAAACGTGATTCAGTACCCTGTTAGTCATCAAAATGTTTTTACTTAAATGTTGGTGCGGTCCCCCATATTAGTATAAGGAAAGTTTAATACCTCCTTCTGCAGTTTATTAATAACCCACACCTGCTAGGTATGCTGGGAGGAACACTAGGTTCACCTTTTATTATTCTATAAGATCTCATGTGCCACTGATATATCCCATGTGCCCATGTGCACCTCCCTCCCCCCTGTTTAATTATAATCATGGTAACCTTAAAAGTGGAAAAAAACTTTTCCATCATTTTTATTAAATTTTAAGACTTCACCTAATGCTTATGGGTAAAGGCTTGGGGAGAATCTGTGTCAGGTCCCCTCTGAATTTAATTATCAGCTCAAAAGAAATACTTCCCCTGTCTCTAGTTTTTTTATTACAGTGAGCAGCCACTAAGGGAGGTATTGAACCTCCCTTATACTAATTTAGGAGTCATGTGGATCCCCAAAGGCTTTTTTTTAAACTATGAAAAAGGCAAAAAGATGCCACAGGAATTAAGTACTGTGGCATATATGTATAGTGGCAATAAAGGGTTAAGTTGTCCTGTTGGTTCAGTGAGGGGAAGTTAGTGAAAGTTCATGACCCCTGGTTAGGTTGTTGGGCAGAGTAGGACAAGTCGCTGGGCAGATTTGATGACACAGCTGTTGCTGGGGACAAGAGCTGACTGGTGATTGGTTGCTGGCTGTGAGTGAGGAAAAAGAGCGGGAAGCAAGGTAAGCATAAAAGTGGCAGAGTGAGTGCAATCCCTGTCAGAGGTCTTTCAAGACAGGAGAAGCATGGACGGACCCCAGCACCACACCTGTTCCAGCCGCAACATGTCTTATGAAGACCTGATGTCCCATATGGAAAGAATCCAAAAAATGCCTGGAGGGGAATCATGGTTAAGAGACTACTTAATTTTGGCGCCGGGGCTTCCAATGCTGACAGGGAGCCTCTGGTAGCAGCATCCTCCCTTACAGAATGCTCCCGTCTGACTGAGTTTCCGCGATGCGCGATACAAGCGGGGAGAAGAGAGCATGCACTCCGGTGCAGAAGAATGACTCCAGAATTTAAAGACACAGCTCATGGAAAGAAGAGAAGGAGTAAAAGAAGCCTGCCATCCTCCCCTGTGCCTATTGGGTCAGGGTAGATTAGAGGGCCGGGATGAACACGTACTGAAGAGTATTGGATGATGGGAGTGAGAGTCATCTGGACGACATGTCAGTCCTACAAGAAATGGAGGTGCAAGGCAGAGCTGGTACTTCAAGTGGTGAGTACGAACGCAACTCTGCTGAGTAGGTTAAGATTAGTGAGGTGTTAGCAGCGGTGCCTAAAATGGTACAGGTTTTACAGAAAAATAAGTCCAGCTCAGGCTTGGGGTAGTGGGAGTATTTAAAAAATAAATAATAAATAAATAAATAAATTACAAAACAAAACCCAAAAAAACAGATTGCCATGTGAAAGTTCACCGTTAGGTTTCACTTAATGACTCATGTAAAAAGAAAAAGGTGAATATGTTGATTTGCTGTCACTTTTGCCTTCAGTGAAATATTTCACAGAGCAGAGAGTGACAAGGATGCCACGTAATTTTAATAACTGGCTGCAAGCAGTTATATATATATATATATATATATATATACACACATTATAAATACATTATGTAGTGGACTTTCCAGCATGTGGAAGTTATACTAGAGGCTTTTATGATGTTGGTGGATCAGCATGGTTAAAGGACCACTATAGTGCCAGGAAAACAAACTTGTTTTCCTGGCACTATAGTGTTAATTGGTCCCCCCACCCTCATGGCCCCCCTCCCACCAGGCTCTAGGGGAAGAAAGGGGTTAAACGTTTACCTATGTTTACAGCTTATGGGTTAACCCTAGATGGACCTGACACCCAGACCACTTCATTGAGCTGAAGTGGTCTGGGTGTCTATAGTGGTCCTTTAACAATGAGAAATGTTCAGAGAAGGACTGGCTGTCCACTCTTCCCTAAATGGGGAGTGAAGGATGTTGGTCTTTGGCTGAATCTAATGCTGCCTCAGAGAGGGAGAGGGGCTTCTGGCACAGTGGGAGCAATTTAAAAAAAAAAAAAAAAGACCTATGTTGGATATTTAATGAGGGGCATTGTGAATGGCCCAATACATGTCAGTTTAAGAATGAGTGCTCATACTTGGGCAGAGATTATTCAGCCTTTTGCTGTTGTAAAATAATGGCAGTAGAATCCAGTCAGGGAAAAGACCAATTTCAAAAGGCATAGACGCCAGCGTAGCTGAAAGGCTTCTTCTTCCTTAGCTTCAGGCTTACCCAAACAGGGAGAGAGCTAAGCTGTTGCTTTAAGTTTTCTGCAGAAGGTTTTAAAATACCAATGCTCTCTGGTTCATGTTGTTCACTGGTTAATAATTTAAATCTGTTTTGCAGGATGTTGCATCTCTCAGCAAGAAATTGCAAAAGTAGTTAAAATTAGGTAGACTAGCGGGTCATTTTGACCACCCTCCTTTTGCCAATTTTCACCTTTCTCCTTTAGGTTTAATAGAAAAAAAAGCCAGGGTCATTCAGGCTAATTCACCATTTATCTTACCCTTTTAGTGCGTCATTAAATGACGAATTTGACAAGGATACTTGTTCGGTGTCCTATGCATATTTTATGATGCACTCGGATGGGTACATGCATTGGGACTGGATGCACTGATGGCTAGGGTGGACATTGAATCAGTCTTTTGGCTATTAAAACCAGTGCATCTGGAAGGGTTCAATTAGTTGTTTTTGTTTGTGTTTTCATTCCTGGGCAGTTTTATGTTGATAAATGTTTACCAAGGGGTTACTCCATCTCCTGTTTTTATTTTGAAGCTTTTCTTCATTCTTGTAATGGGTTGAATAATGCTGAATCCAGTTTATAGTCTATTGTATATTATCTGGATGATTTTGTTAATTGGTCCTAGGTCAGGTTAGAATGTGTTATGTTGATAGAGTTTTTTCTGTAGTTAGATGAATGGTTTGATATTCCGTTATCAGTGGAGAAGACAGTGAGGCTAGTGACCTGTATTCAATTCTTAAGGATAACATTTGTCTCTGTTGTCTTTGAATGTAAGCGGCCAGCAGAAAAGATTTGTAAGCTCTAAAATAAATACATAAATAGTGGATTCTTTTTGCAAGCAAAAGCAACATTAAAGCAGTTTCAGGCATTATTAGGACTATTAACATTGGCAGGTGTATCATGCCTGTAAGAGGTATTTTGGAGGCGAATGTCTTTGGCTGGTGTAAAAATAAATCAATTCACTGTTTCGTAAGGATTTCTGCAGAAATTAGAAAGACTTAAAAGTTTGGGATCAATTCGTATAAGAATATAATGGCTGTTTATTATTGCAAACGGAATTTCAGGATAATGAAGCTTTAGAATTATTTGTGAAAGCTGCAGGGTCAGTTGGTTGGTAGATTGTCCCATTGTATCAGCAATTTTAGTACGGGGCAAGGAACTGCAGAATAAACGGATTATGTTCCACTTTGACAATAAGTCTGTGGTACATGCTAGTAATTCAATGCATTCTAAATGTTGCTATGTTATTAATTTTGTGTGGAATCCAGTATTGTTGTGTTTAAAAATATTTGGTTGAAGGCTCTGCATATTCCGGGTATTGAGAATTAAGTAGCTGATGCTATTTCTCGTCTTCAGCTCAGAGCTTTCGGAAGTTTAGTGCCGGACGTAGAGGAACAGAGCGTGGAATTGCCAAGATGCCTTTTGCAATTAATATGGGAAGAGCCGGGCAATTTCTCATGAAGCACTTGCACAGGGCACGTGGAGTGCGTTTGTGTCAGCATGGAATGAATGATATAAATTCCATGAATTAATCCGAGTTGATCCAGTAGGTGTTAATATTGAAGCTGCCTTCTCTGTTGTGATTCAATGTATTATCAATGGTATATCTAAAAACACCATCTCTAGTTGCTTAGCAGTTGTAACATAATTTCTGACTTTTAGGTAAGCCAGTAGTAGTCAATGCATTTGTGATTAAACCGTTGGTAAAAGGTTTGACTTAAAAGGGTTCAAGTTGCTGATGTAATGCTCCCCATAAGTTACTGAATGTTAGGAGATTTGCTTTAAACACTGTTTGTCTTCACAATTTGAAGCATATTTGTTTTCAGCAGTTTTTTCTTTAATCTTCCTTTTGCAGCATTAAAGATCAGTGTGGCAAACGTAGCCACCAAGAGACTGAGAAAGGACTTTCGAGATTCGAATGAACTTGGATTAAAATGGCCGTATTGCTATTAGGACGGTTATCTTCAGGCAATCGGTTCACGAACTACATCCATTATATTATCCACGAAAACGTGTAAAATACTGAATGAGGGACCACCCCGGTGTAGTCGTGTCTCCCTCATTACCGAAGGCAACAATGTTGCAAAGGCTGGTAATTGAGGTTCGTGTGCGGCCGCCATTCGTCTGCCGAACACGTGGCGGCGGCCATCTTACGTACGAACAGCGGTGTTTGGACGTCGAGTGTCTGGAACTCAAATCGGACACTTGACTAACCAAGCACTGCTAAGACCTCCGGCACTCCGGAAAGGGACGAATAAAATGCATGAACAGCCCAACATTCGGTAGTATGAATCCCGCAAACTAGGGGATTCATTCGAATGCAAACTCAAGCATGGATAGCAAAGGCTTTCGGGACTTTTTATACGTGAACTGAGACCGACCGCAGGGCCAGAACTCATGGAACTATTTTCGGCTACTGTGCCCGTGCGGTCGGTCAAATCTTTTCCCTTCAATAACTCCCAAACCCCTGGTCCAATCTGGGTGATTTTTGAGTATGTTTCTCATCCAGATCAGGGCTACCAGGGGATCCCTCATTTATTTGGGGTACATCCAAGAATTGGGGAAAAGTGTGTACATTTTAATAAGTTTAACTGTTAAGCTAAGGGGAGGAGATGTGGGGGAGGTACCGACTATGTGATTGGATACTGTAATAATTATGGAAGTTGCCTCCCTTGCATGGAGCTTGTGCATTAAAAGCCAGTTGACTCCCACACTATGTGTCGTCTAGTCCTTGGGGAGGGGGATTATGCTGTGTTTTATACTTCTGAATGCTGAATCTTTGTTCCAGCGGAGAATCCTTGGATTAACCCCTGCTACTCCGCTACAATTGGTGGCAAGCGACGGGATTCAAACCACAAGAGAAAAGGAACAGCAATTCGTGGAAATCCCTATTCGTATGGAACAGAAGGTCGAGGGTATGTGAATATACCCGAACGGACAGTGAATGGGGACAGATTATACACGTTTGAAATGGGCTACACTAAAGGAGCTATTGGAAGCAAGGGGAATCATTGCCAGCAATAAAGCCATCCTTGTCGCTAAACTCATGGAGGGAGACAGAGCAGCTGCTGCAGCACCTCCTATGGAAACTACACAGACAGAGTTTGAAAAAGAACTCAAAAGCCAGCTGGCGTTTTTCCCAGGAACACCCCCCACAGAAACAGTGGAAAGAATAATGGCAGATGTGCATGAATATTTAATGGCCAAGCAGCAAGCAGACCAGAGGTCCAGAGAGGGTTCTCCAACCCCACCTCGCATGGTGCAAGGGAAGCCCAAAATCCCCTACCACGCTTTTAAAAATTACGTGGAAACAGAGGACATTGATGGATACTTACACGACTTTGAGAGACTATGCCAACTACATGACATCAGCGCAACCGACCAGATACCCCTGCTGGTGGGCAAGCTAGCAGGCCGGGCAGCCGAAGCCTACCGCACAATGCCAGACGAGGACAGCAGGGACTACCAGAAAGTGAAGCAGGCCATCCAAAACCAGGTATGCCATAACCCCGGAGGCATACCGGCAGCGGTTCAGGGAGATTCAAAAATCGGATCGAGACTCTCACATGGAGTGGGCACACCGCTTAACCAGGGCCGCCAAGGGATGGGTCCAAGCGGCGAAAGCCACTACAGTGGAGGACATGCTGCAACTACTTCTATTGGAACAATTTTTCCAGGGGTTAGCCCCGGACTTACTGAATTGGCTGAGAGATCGGAAACCACATACTTTACCCGATGCAGCCAGATTGGCGGACGAATACCAATATGCCAGAAGGGCACAGCAGGTACAGTTACGACCCACCACAGGGGTCGCAACACCACCTCCCGCTACCACCACAACCCCGACACCTCGTCCCGGGGGGGGGGAATTACCAACCCCCACCCAGGTATAACAACCATTCCTTTATCCGTTGCCACACGTGCAATCAACAGGGCAACATACAGCGAGATTGTCCCAGGAACAAGAACCGATCAACCTGGAATAATCCGACCAATCCCTCCGGTAACCGGGCAGCCGTACACTGCTACCAGAGTGAGCCCCGACAACCACCATTTTCGACAGGATCCACTGAGGGTACCCTACACGAAGTCAACCCGGTACAGGCGGCTTCCGACAACTGACAAGGACATTGACAAGGGGTACATATGGAGGGAAAACGCCTCCAGGGTCTGCGTGACTCAGGGGCCACCATAACCTTGGTTCGTAACCACTTAGTCCCAAAGAACCAGCTCACTGGGGAGTACGTGGCAGTACGGGTGGCAGGGGAAGCAATATACAAGATTCCCACTGCCAGGGTACATTTGGATTGGGGAGCGGGGTCAGGGGACGTGGAAGTGGGCCTCATGCAAGATTTACCAGCCAATGTTATTTTGGGCAATGACTTGGGGGAGCTGACTTCAGCCTTTGTTCCCCAACACCCAGCGCAGGAAGTGCTACCAGTTGTTACCCGGCAGCAGGCTTGGGTTAGAAAAGTAAATGTTAATTCAATATACGGCATATTCATGCGACCTGGGTAGTACTGGGGCAGATGGACACTTTAGTGTTAGGAATACATGTTTGTATTTCTAACACTAAAGTGTTTCTTTATTGAATGGCCATTCAAAGGCAAATTTCAATTTACTCAAATGTGTTATTATGTAGTATTGTTTGCTGATACATTTTGGGAACATAATTTCAACATTCCACACCAAGTAAATTTATAAAAACAATATTAAATATATAAACAAAAGAAGTATAGATGGCAGAATTTATTTGCCACAGTTTCAGTGAATAGAGCCCATGAAATTAGACTTTTGGTTTACAAGATGACACAGCAGCTCATTCATGCTGAGACCATTATGTATTGTATAGTTTCTGTATGCCTGATTTCTTACCTGTGTGTCTCCAGTGAGCAGTAGTTGCAGGATTCCGGTCTCACAGGTGAGCTGACTCTGCAAGAGGACTCTTCTCCTCTTCACTTTTTCACCGTGTTCAGTAGTGTCTTCACTCTCACTGCTTGGTCGAGGCTCACCTTTTCTATGGCGTTCATTTGCTGCTTTTGCAATGGTATGAAGGAGTAGCCTGTTTGCATTTTCCCTCTCCAGCTCTACCCAGGGTCCTCCACGTGCCCTACTACCCCTGGCTAACTGTGCCAGCCTTCGACAAAGTATGGCCACAGGTTTGGGAAGGTACCGCAAACTACGGGCTTCCTGCCCATGGAGAAGATGACGCTGGCTTATTAGGTAATCAGATAATGTGAAGGGTGAAGATGATGGATGGGTGCTGGGAAAGACTGCCCACTGTGAATTTAGGAATAGGGCAAAATCACACACCAAAGAAACCTGTGCCCCTGTCTGGATGGAGCCAGGACGTCGAAGACGAACAAAGCGGATGACATCTGCAGCACTAGCACGACATGCGAAGACCAAATAACATGCGATAAGGACCCCTGAGAGAGAGAGGGGGAAACTCCATCACTACCAGAGACACCGGAAATCATGGATTCCTAAGAGAGAGAGTGGGAAGGAAATCCTGTCACTAGAAGAAAGACAGAGAAAAATAACAATTATCTTAACTGGCAACATATATACATATATCCCATTTTGTCTTTGTTGTTAAACACAATTCTCATGATCTATACAACTATTTGCATAGATATTTGTGTAATCTACCGCAAAGTAAAGTATTTGAAAGTAAAATAGTTTTTGTCCACCAGGATAAGTAAGATGTCATTTTAGAGCAAAGGCTGAGTGGGCCAGCTGAGTGCTCTCATCCAATGACTGCAGTCGTGCATTTGCCATACTTTGCTATAATGACTTCTGGTTTATGCTCCTGGAGAAAACCGCAGATGCAGCAAAGGTCCCAGGTGGGTCTCAGGTAACCTGTAAAATTTTGCTAAAATGGTCTGACATCTGACTGAGCGATGGTGCCAGAGCATTCTGGCACCACAATCCCTTCAGTGGACTTAAATGGTTATGGTACTTGTAGTGACCTTTAAAACTTATTTAAAAATTGTCATCATTAATATGATTACCTGTGCGGCCAAGTCCTGCATGACAGTGTACTGCAACCTTTCCTTCCCGTAGAGCAAATGCTATAACCTTCACTGCATCCAGGATTCGTGGGACAGGGACGACGCCAAAATCAGGCAGACTGAAGTTGTAGAAAGAAACTGGAAAATACAGAATGATAACTGGTGAAAACATCTTCCACTTCCAGACTCTGCTCATTGTGACACTGGATTCCCACATCTTCCAAAATTCTAAATCCTGCCCTCAATCTATGAAACCTTATACTATGAATACATTGTATTCACCTTAACTTTATCTCTTTTTTTTTTAATCAAAAAAAAGGGCAAAAATCAGAGTACAAGAGAATACTGAGAACAGACAACAACTCAAGTATATTGCCCTTTGGTGGGTCCCCACTCAGACAATTGTTTCCACCTTGTTAAGGTTTGTCAATGAATAAGCCTTAGCCGGTACCATTTTAGGCTAAGTGAATAAGGGGTCCACATCTAGGTTATCCTTTACCAACCTGTATTTTGTATTTCTGACCACCCTTTTATGTGGGATCAATCAAATGTTCAAATGATTTAGATTCTCTCTGTGATGGCATAAAACCAGCTTGATACTGAGTGGATACCCACCGATACCCACCCACTGAAAAGACATTGTTTACAGCAAAAAGCCTGAAGAGAATGATTATACTCACCAGAACAAATGCAATAAGCTGTAGTTGTTTTGGTGACTATATGTCCCTTTAAATTTGTGAAGATAGTGGATGCTCATCATCTATCATCGAAAAGCACTGTATTAGCAAAGCACTGTAAAGTGAAATTACTGTACTTCTATTCCAGTTTTTTTTCCAATGTGCTTGGTCTTTTTATTTTTAAGGGCATCACAAATGATCTCCTAAAAATTAACCTGTCTTGCAAAAAAGGTTGAAAAGATTGTAATTTTCTTAACTAGAAAGCTACAATTTCTGGGGAAATTGTGTGGTGTTCTTGCCTCCACCAGTAGTCTACAACTGTAGTGGGCGGAGTAACTGTTATTATTTATTTATATAGCACATTTAATTGCAACGTTGTTGCCCAAAGTGCTTCACAGTTACATTAAAGCATACATTTATAAAAACATTAGCAGGTGTACAAAAGTTCCTGTCTATGACATCACTTGCTGCTCCAGCCTGGCACATGTCAGAGTATTTTTGCAGTTGCCATCTTCAAACGGTCGTATTTTAAAAACTATACATCCTACAGCGATGAGCTTTATATTGTGAGAATCACAAGACCCAGACCCTACATTTTGATGCATAGTACGTCTCTGAAGTATTAAAAATGAAGGCACAGTTGGAGTTTAGAAATTGCCCTTCAAATTTGAGCTGTCTATAGTTAAGTTTCAATGAAGGTCAATGGACGGTGTGAGTTGCAAACAAATGGTCATATTGTGAAAACTATCAGGACTATGGCTTAGCCGTGGACATTTTTAGTGGCAGCAGGGATAGCTGAACGTTTTGATATAATATTTGTGTAGGTGGGCTTGAAAATGAGAGTGTGGTGGCAGTTTAGAAATCATGTCCTGATTTTACAGCTTTTGCCAGCTCCCACTCTAGTTTTGAACATTTTGCCATTAATTCGTAATTGGGATCAATTTCGCCACAAGAACGACGATATTCCGTGAACCATTCGGCGAAACGTTCCACAAAGTAATAGCTATCCGATTGGGAACAATCCGCACGTTTCGGTATATTACTGTCTATGTAGTGTAAAAACTGTGGGAGGAGTTAGGGTAGTAAATTTGGCTATAATAAGAATAAAATATATGTGAGATAACATTAAGTGGTCTTGCTATGCAAGAACACTTAATTACTTCACAATAATATCACACTGCCTATTAGCTCACTTCACAAGTGGATTTCACAATGTTATACACCAAAGTGCATAGATGATAGCACAGAATTGGATATACACTGGAGAACAAGCACAGGGACATATAATCTATCACACATATACACTGATACTCTTCCAGGTTCCACACATGCAAACAGAAGTTGACTCACTGCCAGAATCCATGAAGTCCTGAGGTCTATATGAGAAGCCACTTTGAGGTTCAAGTGGGTCTCCACAGTAAGGGTGTTCCCAAGGAAGCTGGGCATTAACCAAAGAGTGAATTCCAAACCTGTACACATAGAAATAGGTATTTGTAAACCACATCCAAGACATTAAAAAAAAGATTCTTCAAGGAAACATTGATAGTAATAGCATTTACAGTTTACAAGGGAGCTGTCATTTGTCTTTAAATTACACCCTTGAAGAAAACATTGAAAAATCTATAATGTTTGTTAACCTGTATATTAAATGTTTAGAAACTGACATCACAATAACCTAGGCACAGCCAGGGCACAAAATGCAAACGAGGAGGCAAACAGATACATTGTTTTATGTTACTTTCTATATTTAGTGGCAAAAAAGGAAACAATGATTGACGGGGACCCAAGATGGATTAACTCAATTCAGGGACTGAGCTACGTACATCAATGTGGATTGCCACATACAATCTTATTTTTCTCACCTCCAAAACACTTATTTGCAAAATACATGGATAAGAATACATAATATAACCTACTGTGCTTGAGGAGATGCTAAAAAACACATTGGGTTGGATTTTTGTGTGTGAGCCTCACTTCTCTTTGAAAAGAGCAGAATGAATAGAAGCCGATTCCCATTGTATATATGAGGGCCAGACTGGTGAACTTGTGTACCATTAGTTAAGACTAGAGGACACCCTTTTTGCCTGGAGCAAGTTTCCTTATAGTCACGTTTGTGCTACTTATATGTGAATCTTTTTGCTTTTATTGCATTTTATCAGTTTCTGTGACAATAAGGATTATGCAATGCTAATTTTAGAGGACTTTCTATATATGGCTGTTGTGGACATTTTTGCAGTTATCATACCATAAACGCAGTGTGGACGGCCTATATATACATTTAAAATTTTAATATACCTGCTTATATTGTCCTACTTTTCATAATGCAAGCTCTTTGTATGTGGTTTTATTAATTTCTAATTATTGTTGGTATACATTAGTTTTTCTTTTTTTCTCTACTAATTTATTTATATTGTCTGGTTAGAGCTGGGGTCACATCACTGCCTTAAAACTGAAAGACTCAGGATCAAATCCTGGTCAGACCACCTTACCGGTAAGTGTCCTTGTGCAAAGCACCTAATGATACTAATCTGCCAAGGGGACTAATACGTTTTGATATGCCATATTTGATGTATTTATTAAAGCTGCTGTTTCTGTAGTCTGATCAATTATTTGCAAACTCTGTCGAGGAGTAGGTTTCATGTCAAACGTTTACATAGTTTGACACATGTACATCCCTTCACCTTTTTTCACTTTTTATATATTTCTATATTTCTTAATTTTCATGTTTACATGGAATATTTTTCCAAGATACACAGAAATCATTTTAGCATTACTACTGTTATAACCAATTATCCAATTATCTCTATACTGCATTAAAAATTAATCATATCCAGTCATTGTCTCTTCAAAGTTATGTCGTAAATTCTGACTCATTCTGACTGGATATTATAATGTGGGCTGCAACTAGATTACCACAAGTAATGACAACTGGAGAGAACTGGAGTTTGGCCATGTGGTGGCTGATTTTGTAGTAGGCCTGAAACTATGACATAAACCCCAAATTATATTTTTACGGTCCCTGTAATCCCTTTTACCTTTGGAATTGCCCAGTGATATTGTGCTCTTGTATTAAACGAGTGGATGGACGGCTCGTAGCAAGAATCTCATCCGTAATCCTGAAACCAAAAACATAAGCATGTGTATCAGTAAAATGCAGCAGATATGCATGAATTCTCCTTATGTTGTTTTTAAGGGTGTCAGGATTAAAAACAAAAACAGTCTCCTAGGCAGTTAGCAATATCTTCAGACCATACATAATTTAATACTTTGTTCTGAATTATCATTAGATACCCTAAACAACTTGGTAGACTACTTCTTTTGTACATCAAATAAACTGATTAGTATGGGATTACCAAGTGTTTATATCTGAAGACTGACTTTTGTACAGTTTTGTAAGTTTGTTGTTTGCTTGCTTTTGGCTTCTTCCCTTCCTTGTGCTGACTATTAGTAGTGCTCATGAGAATGGAAGTGATCTAGAATAGGCTAGGTAATAGGTTATTATGTAGGGATGTGCATGGACAAAGAAATTTGGTTAGGTTTGGAAATTCGGGTTAGTAAAAAAATTCGGAAATTCAGCACTTTGGCAATTTGGTTCGGTTTGGCACTTTTTATGAAATTTGGAACTTCAGCAATTTGGGACTTTGGCAATTCGGAACATCTGTAGGGCTCCCTAACCCTACCCCTGTCATCATTCAGCTAATTCTCCCTCCCTCTATTGTTTTGCCATTTTTCAGAAATTCAAAGCACTTTGGAAATTCGGCACTTCGGCAATTCGGTTCGGCACTTCGGAAATTCGGCACTTCGGACATTTGGAAGCATCCGAATGTCCGAATTGCCCGAAATTCATGCAAATTCACATTTGGAACGAAAAACAAATTGCACATGTTTATTAATATATATTTGCTGTGTTTTAAGTTATAATCAGTTAAATAAATATGTTTTACACTTCAAAAGAAAATGTGGTTTATTTTTGTAATGATCATTTTATTGAGATTCTAAGAGTAGTACTATGTGTTTTAACTTAAAACTTGCTGCTTAAAGTATAAAATAGCATACTGCCATATAGACCACCAAATCAGTGTTGGAACTACCGCCGGTGCAAGTGGTGCAGCTGCAACGGTGCCCATACACTGGAGGGCCCATTGTGTAACCCATGCGCTTAGTTCCACCTGATGGATATTGCTGATATCATTTTCACATTGGCATTGCTGGAAGGAAGTGAGAGTCTGTCACTTCCTCCCAGATACATGAGGAGGCAGCACAGGAGCTTGGAGAAGCAAGGAGAGAGTCAGCTCCTGGCCCAAACCACCAACACTCATAGCCAGCAGCAGGAACCCAGGCAAGCCACTGTCATCTACATAAAATGAATTGTAACAGGAGGGGGGTTGCAAATATAAAAATGATGATGTATGTTTGTATGTATCTATGTATTTCAGTGTATGTACATCTGTTTATCAATGTGTATTTGTGTGTATCTGTGTGTCAGTGTATGTTAATTGTCACTGTGTTCATCTGTGTGCCAGGCTGTGTGTATGTGTCACTGTGTGTATCATAGTGTGCATGTGTGTGTCAGTGTGTGTATCACTACATACAAACACACCCATGCAATCAAATCCAAACATTATATACAAACACACCCTGTATTAAAACATCAAACTTATATACGAACACCCCTTCATTCAAACACCAACACTACACACAAAAGCTCACCTACATTTAAAAGCCATCATTACATACAGACACACACCTGCATTCCAGCGCAAAACACTACACACAAGTACACCACTGCATTCCAATGGCAACAATCCATACGAATACACTCAATATGCTCACACACCATATAGAAAAACATGCTTACATTCAAACACACAAACATTGCTCACAAATACAACCCTTTAAGGATGGGCAAATGGTAGATCGCCAGCTGGCATAGCATTGTGGGAGTTGTACGACAGATGGGGATCTACCTTTTGGTCACCCTTGAGCTAGAGGGGGCCCAGAAAAGTTGTTGCACCAGGGTCCTCTCTACATTAGTCCCATATCCCTTACCAAACCTCACAGAGATAGAAAATCTCATCAATTGTGAAACAGACATTTGTGCAACCTTTGCTTTCTCCATTATTGAATCTTTTGCACTAAGAGCCTGAAACAACTGCTGTAGATCTTATGACATCATGTGCATTACAAGAATTAACCACACCATTTTGCATTCTGTTAAACACATTACTTTTCATCATTAATCCAGTTATAAGAGTTTGTGAATTTCTGATCTGCAACAAGAGGCATCTTCAGCTTTCTTACCAAGATGAATAGAGACCCCTGATTGCTTGTTGTTCCAGACTCCAACATTCAGGACCCTCATAGCGACACTCTCGGCCTCCACAAGTTAGAGAGCATATGAGATGAGGATGCACTGCCCGGACTACACGCTCCCGAGTCTGGGAATAGGTGGGACGTGGTATTTCCCCTGAAGAATTCATGAGCACTAGGAATAGAGAGATAATAATAATTAGAATAGAGACATCTGTTATTTAACAAGGTGAAAATAAATCTGTGATGCATACCAAAAACAGCAAAATATGTCACTCCTGACACCCTAAACTTATTTAAAAAAATAAATAAATAAAGCACAAGGGAATAGTGAACACATAAAAACAATTTGAAAGTTACTTCAAATTTCACGGAAAAAAAAATAGGATTTACTCAGACTATAAAATCCTTACACACTGAAAAACCAAAAAGTCTAACTGCAGATGTTATGTCTGCTTTATGGATAATCTAGTCCAATCCAGTCTAATTGTAGTACTGAAGGCAACATTGCTTAATAGCACTGGCTAATAACTCCTCAATTATATATTTGTTTTTTAATTTTTTTTTTTTATTATTCCTTTTGTTTACATTTCTAGAGTGGGGCCATTTTTATAGCACTATTTCCAGCGTGTGTGTGTGTGTGTGCATATATATTGTTCCCTCTTAAGGTGAAATCTTTAAAGCACATAAATTGCAAGTCATTTGTGCTTATGATGATTTAAACACAAATGGTTTAGCTACAGAAAAGTGCCCCTAATTTTTCGGGATTCAGATATATGACCTCCCACATGTCATTTAGATTTCATTTCATTCAGGGCCATAATTTATTAAGGCTTTGTATCATTTGGGATAAATTAGCATCCCACCAATTAAAATGAATACATTATATTATATATACAGTATATATACAATATATACATATAATACTGTACATACAATATATTATATATTTTTAACGAGACAGCCCAGAGTACTTTTAATATATATTTGCACATTTCTTAACTATATACCTTACAAAATACCAATCACTTGACTGAGTGACTTAGTAAATAACCATCTAATATTTTATGCATGCATGTTTTTATTTGCTGTATGTCTAATGGGCAGTGGGATGTGCCTTTAAACAATTTATAATCAACCTCTGCCAACCTCTGCTCTGCCAAAATCCATATTTATTTATTTTTGTGGTTTTCACAAACATGTTCCAGTACTATCTGTATCCAGATAATGAAAATCCCTATATTTGTATTCTGCTACAGCCCTCCCCAAACACATCAATAACTCCGACCAGGTCACACCTTTAAGACGGTACAGAGTCATTTTACAGAAATGCTCATTTTAGTTTTTCAAATTTCTTATTTTAAACTGATTGTTTTTCTGTGTACCTATCCCTTTTGGGATGAAATATCAATTCCCAACTGCACTTCACCACCATCATAACATATAATTTGCAGAAGAAGACAATGTATTTAATATAGAGAATTTTGAATCTTTTAACTTGCCAGTTTCATTACAAATCTCTGTCACATTTTTTACAGAAGCAACCAATTTCTATGGTTAATTTCCCGGGCATTGCGTTTGTACTACTACTCCTCAAACATCCACGATTTGTGTTCTCCTAAGCAATTTCAGCAGCTTACAACAGAGGGCTGAACACCTGGAGGGGGCCCGGTGGCTTTCCCAGTGTGTCGCCATGTGCAAGGTTCCACTACACAGTCTGCAGCTCCACTGGGTGCAGAGTTGAAGACCTTGAGTAGCTCTCCTTAGGTGCGGACAATTAGTGCATTGCTGTGTGTTATCCCAGCTGACACTTCCAGTGCTGGAGCTCATAGGACAACTACTTATGGTCTGCAACTCTGTATCTTGTAAAGTTGCAGTCCAGATAGCTAGGCCACAGGTCGGACTACCAGGGAGCCCAATGTACAACAGGGAGTCAATTGCTCCCTCCTATCCCCCAGTAGGAGTGAAAATGTCAAAAATGGGAGGCTGGACACAGAAACACAGCCTCCCCACACACTGTCTCTCTCCCACACTCAGCCCCATTCATAGTTGACCTGTCACACTTTCCCTGTCACACACACTACACCCAGTGGTGTATCCTGGTTTTGTGCTGCCCTAGCCAGTGGCTGCTGGGCTGCTGGGCAGGCGGCGCTGGCGAGGGAGCTGAGCAGAGAGCTCACTAATCAGTGCTCCCTCGCCAGCGCCGCCCGCCCAGCAGCCACTGGTGAGGGAGCACTGATTAGTGAGCTCTCTGCTCAGCTCCCTCGCGCGCCGCAGAGTGATGCCGGGAGCCGGAATATGACGTCATATGACGGCAGAGAGCTCAGGGGAAAGTGCTCCCTCGCCAGTGCCACCCGCCGGACAACCGCCTGCCTGGACTGTTAGCCACCAGGCTAACAAGGCATTTGCCCTGGGCATTTGGGGGCGGCGTTTTTTGCCGCCCCCTGGAAAATGCTGCCCAGGGCAAATGCCTTGTGTGCCTCGCAGCTAATACGTCCCTGACTACACCCACTATACACACATGCATAATGTACCCCCTATACACAAACACTAGAGCCCCCATATGTATAACAACACTCCAGCCCCTATATTTGTTTCATTAAGGTCGTCAGTAGGGGGCTCATGTTTCAGTTTCCCCTAAGACCTCACAAAGTCTATGCCTTTGCCCTATTTTTAGGAACTTCTAAAATTACAGACATGCCTTATTTTAACATGGCTCTTTGCTTACCTCCAAGAGACACTGTTTGTTATCGAAAACTATCTGTGTCCCCTTACCGAGGGGCATTAACCTGTGATGTTATTTGTAAGCCTGTTTAACCCATTAAGGACCAAACTTCTGGAATAAAAGGGAATCATGACATGTTACACATGTCATGTGTCCTTAAGGGGTTAACTCCACATCTAGGGAAACATAATACAAACTAAACTGTATTAACCCTAACACTTCACTCTTTAGCAAATTGGTCCCCACAAGAAAAAAAATGCTATATCCAGTAACAACTAAATGATGCTTTTCACTACTGTGAAAAATATTTCTATGGATAGTAGGGGTTAACTCCAAAGTTATTTAAAAGGTTCTAGGAAGTGAAAATTCCAATTTCTTATCAATACCTGCTGAGATGAAAGATAATGAAGCTCTGTGAGTGATTAACAAAGAGGTGGAATATAAAACAGGAAAATTAAGATATATCTAATTCTTACATTACCTTTAAAATGTTCTTGTCTTTTTGTGTTTCTGCCTGGTAATTCACTGTGTAGATATCAAATGAAGACCTTGTTTATTTTCCACTTGAACAGTCTGGAATCGAACCTATGCTCTCCAACCTAGTTGTACTAATCTTATAAAGCTATTACATAAGGCACAGATTTAAGCTGCTTAGGGCTTTTGATGTTAGTGTCAGGCACTGAGCAATTCTTTCTGGTCATTGTAGTCCACTTATGGATATTTAAAGGACAAACATTTTCCCAATAGAAAGCAACAGAATAATAAACAGTTGTAGAAGTGAAAATCCAGTGAACATCTTGCAGTGCTACAATGTAATATAATGTAGTAGCAATCTGTATTTCAGTCATTGTGAAGTAGAGTAAATATGTACATGTGGACTAATTATACAGATGAACTGACAATGCTTGATTTTAAAAGTAGAGGTGATTTACATTAAAACATGTCAGTTTAATGCATTGGATATGCCAGTGCACTTGGGTAACACGTTGTATTAATCCTATATTACACGTTATTTATTACAAATCGAAAAACCCAGAAACAAACTTTGAATTATGAAAAAAATGACAGTGTGCTTGGAAGATTTAGCAGTGTGGAGCAAAATAGATTTTTTTTTGTTGCAACTATGTCAATGCAACCCAAATGTTATCCCAGTGGTTCTAGCTGTTTTACAAGAATTCACCAGGACAATATGCAAAGTCTACTAAAGGGCCACATATCGTTAGACATTGTCTGTGTATGTGCAGTGTTGACCACATTCCAAATCTTTTGAAACTTGCATTTACACATTGACCTTGTGAAGATGGATAGGCTGGAAAGGATCACATTGGATGGTATACCTCCCAAGGATCCCTAGTTAGGATGAACAGTCCCTGTGTTATGCCAAAGCCCTCTTTAGCTATCCTAATGTTCCTCTTTTCTAGGATCTCCATATTGCTGGTGTATCTGAGTGTATAACAGAGCTCCACAGCAATAATACTCTCAGTAATGTTTCTTTACACTACAATAAATGTGTGCAGAAATCAGTCTGTGTAAATAAGATGCACTTTTCTTGTATCCCACCCCTCAAATTAAAGTGTCTCTCTTTGTGCATTTGAAATGTTGAAAGGTATGGGATAGGGTCCAAAATAATCCTTAGAGTGGTGCCAACTTTCACCCTCTGGTTGGAATAGGGAGCGCCCAAGACTGAAGGCATGTCATCCATCTTATTTTAACCATTCTTGATTTTACAATTATGTTTTTTAAACTTTTGAACTGGGAATTTGTGAAAGAACTGCATTGTTTGTTTAAGAACATGTTTGCAAAGATAGACTGTCAACATTTTCAGAAAAGATAACCTAGTGGAGGGAGGAAAGTTCAAATTAGAATTTGTGTGTCTGATACAGAACTAGCTTACATTTGCCAAATTTTAGCCAATAAAAAAGGTATACATATTGATGTTCTATGTAACCATGTATTTATTTATTTTGAAGGGCAATATTCTCAGTCAGAACTAGTGATGTCGCGAACCCGAAATTTTCGGTTAGCGAACGGCGAACGCGAACTTCCGCAAATGTTCGCGAACCGGGCGAACCGCCATAGACTTCAATGGGCAGGCAAATTTTAAAACACACAGGGACTCTTTCTGGCCACAATAGTGATGGAAAAGTTGTTTCAAGGGGACTAACACCTGGACTGTGGCATGCCGGAGGGGGATCCATGGCAAAACTCCCATGGAAAATTACACAGTTGATACAGAGTCTGGTTTTAATCCATAAAGGGCAGAAATCACCTAACATTCCTAAATCACAATCAATATGGATTGACACCTGACATATGACATATTGACACCTTGACATATGGATTGACACCTGTCCTCAGAGCCCCTGATGCACACGGACACAGAGCAGAATAGAGACTGGTCCCCTACATAGGGTCACTTGGCAGATATGGATTGACACCTGTCCT